TAGCAGGGGCAGCCCAGAGCCTGGAGACCACGGTACTGGCAAGCACAGCTCAGGATGAGGCTCGCCCAGGTGGAGGCAGGTGCCCGGTGTTCCCTGCATCTGGAGCATCCTGACTCACCCCCAGCATGCGAGCACTCTGTGCATGCCTCCTTCCTGCAGCGATTCTAGTGACTGAGCTTCCTCTGCTCACCTCCAGCCCTCCCGGGATGCACCATCCTCCCACAAAGCAAGCGGGGCTGGGCCCCAGCCAGGAGCTGTTTAAACCTTTCCTAGGGCAGGAGCACGTGGGTTTCATTAGCTGGGACATCCTGGCCAGCCCCAGGCGATGCCTCACCGCTGGAACTGCTGCCCAGCCCTGTGCCCAGCCCTGGTGGCTCAGCCTCTCTGCCTAATGCTGTACCCGGCTCAATTTACCTGCTAATTCCCCTGCTGTGATTCACTCTTGCTCTTTTATTGCCCCCAATAACCTGGACAATGAAAACCATCTGCCCACGCCTCTTACCATGTTTGGGGGGAAAGAAGTCCCGGCTCGAAGGGAGCCCCCTCACCCGGGAGCGCTGACGGGAGGGGAGCAGGGACAGAGAAACCAGCTGAGCGGTTATCAGGACTCCCGGCCAGCTCCACGCAAGCGGAACAGCCCCTCCCAGAGCTGCACCCAAAACATTCTACCTCCCTCAGCTCCGTCTGGTGCTGTGGGACTGCAGGGGCTCGGGGGTCCTGGGCTTGCCTCTCCCATGCTGGGCTGCCCCTGGCCCATCCACCTGGGAGGTGCTGGGCAGAGCAGATGACATTGCCACCAATCTGGCCTGGGACCCCCACCATAAGGAGACATCTGGGGCACTTTCCAAGGTCCCCCCATCTTGGGGGTTTTGCACAGGGCTACAGAGCTGCAGTGTACCCACCCCGTGCCCTTCCTGAGCCAAGGACTGCCCCCAGACCGGGTGATGCACACAAATATCCCAGCACGTGTCCAGTGTCCCTCTGTGCCCACCCCAGACAGCGCCAGCCCTCACTGCACACCCTCACTGCCACCATCCCTGCGTGGGCACCAGTCCCTCCAAGGCCAGGGGGACACAGCGTCCCCCCAGTGCCTGGCACTGCTCTCACCCCCGACCATGCTGCACTTACTGTCCAGGGCGCTGTCAGGGCAGGGGTCCCCATGCTCCGGGGAGGCCACACGGGACTCTCAGCTGAGCTGTGTGTGCCGGGGTGTGGCCAGGGTGGCAGTGCTGGGGTGTGGGGGGTGCGGGAGGGTGGCTGCGGGGCCCTGATAAGCTCAGCACCAGGGAGTTGTGGGGAATTCCAAGAACCAGGTGGGGCTTAGTGCCCTGTCCCCAAATCCCTGTGCTGCCGTCACCCTGCTGCAGCTGGTCCTGTGCCCGGGGGGCTGCCCTTGGCCCCGACCCATGGGACTCGCTGATGCCCCGATGCACCAACGTGCCAACACACCCATGTGCCGGTGCTTTAATACACCAGCACGGTGGTGTGGCCGTGCAGCCACAGACCTTGCTTCAGGCACTTTCTGCCCCTCCATGAACGCAGCTACGACACTAAGGAGCCCTGAATCTTCAGAGAGAACCTGGATGTCTGGCTCTGCCCCAACCCTGTTAGCCCCAGAGGAAAGGTATGGCTAAGGAGTCCTGAGTCAACGTGCCAGGAGCAGCCTGGGCTCTCCTGTCACACCATGTGGCCTCCCCGCCGATAACCCTGTGTTTGCACAGGCGGTGCCCTCGCTGCCACAGCGGCCCTGGCACTGCTGGTCCCAGCTCCTCAAAGCAGGGCAGCTCCCGTCCTGGGGACATGTGACCCAGTGCCTGGTCTGGATACCTCTGGCACCTGCCAGGATAAAGGCAGGACTGTGGCTCACTGTCCCTGGTGCCCTTGGTGTCTGGATCTGGCTGGATCCCAGTGGAGTGGGTGGCATTGCCCGTGCCCAGAACTGCCCTCCCTCCTGGCACGGGATGTCAGAGCCAAGCTGGCAATGCTGTGCCAGGACACTCAGCCCTGCACTGCACCGGCAGCTGGGGTGGGACATCCCTGTCCTCGTCCTCTCTGTCCCCACTGAAGCCCACTCCTACCAGGAAGCCCCTTCCAGCCTTACTGCTGCCCGAGCACGGCACAGAGAGACCCCAGCTCGCCCCAGCTGGGGGTGCTGGGGGTCCCACTTACCCCCGTGAGCGCCTTGGTGCTCCGTTCCTGCTCAGGGCTGGCACTGGCTGGCCTGGGGACACTGGTGTGCTGTGGCTGCCAGGCTGTTCTGCGTTTCCGGGCAGGTGAGCAGAGCCTGTTTTACCGTGGGGCTGAGCCAAAGTCCACAGGTGATGCCAAGGAGCCAGGAGCTCTCCACGCCCGCCGCAGGGCGTGTGCTGGCACCTGTGCTGGCACCGGGAAGGGTTGAGGCCCCACTGCCCCAGGAGAGAGCCCTAGAATCCTGGCCCTGGGCAGAAGCAGGGTCTGCACCAGCCTGGGCATGGACAGAGACCCATGACCATGTGGTAATGAGACCTTGGGGCATCCAGGAAACTGGGCTGCCATGTCCCCTTTACCTGGGCAGCATCACCCCTCATCCCTTTCCTCCCAGCATCCTGGGTGCCACATACCCCTTTCTCCCCTTATCCTCTGCCCATACAACGAAGGAACAGCAGAGCCCATCCCTAACATCCCCATCCCAAACCTTCCATCCCCATCCTCCCAGGATCCCCAGCCCAGCCTCCTCCCACCCACTGGTGGCTCCAGGCTGGTTGTTCACACAATTTATTTGCTCAGTTTGGGTGTTTTACAAACAACGGGGTGGGGTGGGGAGGGATGGGATGGGGAAGGGAATTCAAACGGCTTCGGCACAAGTGAAAAGCTCAGGGGCACGGGAAGTGCACTTCAGCAGAGCCGGGCAGGGGACAGGGGGGCTGTGGGATGGGGACGATGCCGGGCCCACCACCCACTCCTCTCACACCCCAGCCCTACCCGGGGGCCTGGTCCTGTTCCCCACTGCCCCAGGGGCTGGATTGGGCTCAGGGTCAAAGCCAACCGAGGGGCAGGGATGCCAAGGGCGGGAGTGAGCCCCAGCTTGTGGCTGGGAGATTGCAGGGCTCAGGGTGGGATGGGGTGGGTGGTGTTGGCCCCTGATGTGGGGTGGCAAGAGGTGACATTCCCCCCAGGACTATGGGGGCAGATGCCCTGTGGCACCCAGCCCGTGCCCTGCTCTGCAGCAATGGGGCTCCAGTGATGCCCAGCAGTGGATGGGGCAGGACAGGTCCCCCCTTCCCCTGGCAGTGCCCTCCTAAAGCCCCCCCTTCTCCAGCCCTGCCTCTCCCAGATGCTGTGGGTACCTAGCTGGGGCTCAGGACAGGGGTGGCACCATGATCCCTCCCCTCCTCAGCCCTGCAATGACTCTACTGGGGGGAAAACTGCAGCCTGAGTGGTAACTGGGGGACAACTGGGATGTCATGGGGACAGGGGGGTGTCACTGCTCACACAAGGGGAACGTGGGGAAAGGGAGGCCCATCCTTGGGGGAGCTGAGCCCCATCCCTGGATGCTTGACCACCGATGTCCTGGTGGGCTGGGCAGCATGGATGCTGCTCCACACATGCTTTGGGGGATCCCTGGGGACCTGCCAGCCTCACAGCAGAAGGAACCCTCTCACACTCGAACAAGGATCCCTCGCTAGTGGCTGCAGCCTGCCCAAAGCTCCTGGACAAGTATCTGAGCACTGCCAGCCCAGCTTATGGGCAGCTGATTTGGGCACTGGGGACCAAAAACCACGGGGTCCCCCCGCCTGCCCCAGCTGGTCTCAGTGGGGAGAAAACGCTGGTGCTGGTGGTGAAATCCCCACTGAAGGGCTGGGGTGCAAGGTGGGGCAGCAGGGAGGTTGCCTTCTGTGGGACACCAGACCCCTGGCAGCTCCCAGTGCCAGTACTGGGGTGAACTGGGCTGCCCCACTCCCCTGGGGGACCCAATGCTGCAGTCTGGGACCCCAGAACGTGGCTCTGCAAAGCTGCTGCTGCTGGGTGGCAGAGGCAGGAAGGGGACAGGATGCTGGGCCACTCTCCTGCTGCCATGAGGAAACATGGGACCTCCACCCCATTCCTCCCCAACAAGGCTGGGCTCCCCCAGGTTCCCCTTCCCTAGCTGGCATTGCTCCAGGAGGACACAGCACAGTTCAGCCTCCTCGGCTGGCAGAGCCCAGTGGCACCAGCCAGCAGCTGAGACAGAGGAATGGCTGTTACTGCCAGCACCAGAGTGAGGAGCTCCAACATGTGGAGCTGAGCCCGGGAGGAGCCTGGGGACAGGCTGGGTTAACCCTGCAGGAGCCTTGGTGGCCCTGGCCATTACCACAGCTGAGTATCAGGGAGGGGACGCTGCCCTCAGTGCCCTTCCCTTGCCTGGACACACTCTGTCCTCGAGGGCTTGGGGAGCCCGGGACCACAGGGACGAGGACATGAAATGGAGCAGAGATGTCCATGGGCAGCCAGCGGGGACCAGACCTAGGCCTTTCCCCACTGGAGAAGTGGATGATGGAGGCACAGAGGGAGGGGCTGGCACAGGGCTGGGTCCGATGCCCACCGTGGGCTGAGCCAAGAGTGGGTCCCGCTGGTGGCGGCTCCCGGGGAGTCATCTACGGACACAGTGTCGTCCTCCGACCCCCTGCCCGGCCGCTCCATCTTCCGACGGCGGGTGGGACAATGTCGGTGACAGAGGGAAAGGCCCCGGTGCCGGTGGCAGGTGGGGATGAGGCCGGGCTGTGATGGGGTGGGCGCACTGTGGGGCGAGGGGGGTCACTAATAAATACCACAGGCAGCGCTGGTGGGGGGCGGCACGGGGCTGGCATCGGGCAGATGGGGCGAGCGTTGCCAGCTCACTGCTGCTGCCCGCTGCGGCCCCATTGGCACCATGTTGGATCTCCCCGGTTCTGCAGAAAGAGGGTTCTGTGTCCGGTGGGGGGGAAGCCCGGTGTGCCGGGCCTGGCGAGCAGGGGCCGGGGCGGAGGGGGCGCGGCGGGGGCTCACATCACCGTGCAGCACTTGCAGCGCTGCTTCTTCACATCTGTCTCCTGCTCGGCCTCCTTGGCATCTGTGGCGTTGGCACCTGGCTTCTGCCCGCCCGCACCCTCCTCGCCCAGCGGCTGGGCAGCCGCCGGCTCCAGCGCGGTGCCGTTGGGTGGGGTGTGGTCCTTGTGTGCCGGCTCCGGCTTGCTCTCGGCATCCTCAATCACCACCAGCTCTGCCTTGATGGTGCCCTCCAGCCCCAGCACCTTCTTGGTCTCGTTCTCATCCTCCACGTTCTGGTAGCCCATGAAGATCATGGTGACGGGTTGCTCCTGGCTGGCCTCTGTCCCCTCGCCCGGTGGCACCTTGGCTTGCAGCCCCGTGATCTCCCGCCGTGGCGTCGGTTTCTGACTCCCCGGGGCGCTGCCACCCCCCTTGCCAGCCTTGGCTGGAGTCTGGCGCCCGCCAGCTTCACTCAGGGTGGCCTCGTCCGCCTTGTGCAGGAGCTCATCGACCTCGGAGGAGCTGAGGGGGTGGGCCCCGTTCTGCAGGGTCCCGTCCTCGGCGCTCACCGCATGCACCACTGTGGGGACAAGAGGAGGGAGGGTGAGGAGGGCTCGGGATGGGGGCACAAGATGACCTGGGAGAGCTCCTGCTGGCGTGACCCATTCAGCCCCAGCTCATGTGTGGTCGGGGAGCAGCCCCTTCCCCTCTCCAAAGGTCATACCACTGAGGCTGGGACTCCCACAGCATCCCAACCCTCCCCTCAGCAGAGCTGCTGCCAGACCCTCCCTCATCACCTGGCTCCTGCCCAGCACCAGCCAGGGAGACCGAAATAAAAGCCCAATGGAAGGAGGTGTTCCCGAAGCCTCAGGCTCAGCGAGCCTGCGGGAGCCACGGATCTTTGCCAGGCCACTGACAGCCGGCCAAGCTGCCCGTGGCAGGACAGCGTCTGCTGGCACCCGGCTCGGCCAGGGCTGACGTGACACTGTGCAGCAGGTCACCACTGCCACCTCTGAGACCCCAGTGATGCTCAGCAGTTGCTGCCCCACTGTGTTCCCACCACCTCCTGCCACATCCACCAGGACCATTGCACCTGGTGGCCCCGTGCCCGGTGGGGATGGGGCTCTTCCCCCCGGTGTGCTGTGCCGGCTGCTCGTGGCACTGGAGGCAGAGATGGAGTCATGGCCAGAGCGGCCAAAGGGTTGTTGCATTTTCCACCTGACCTGGGGCATGACGTGATAGTCAATGTGACTGCCTCAGTGGGCAGCCAGTGAGTGAGGGCCAGTGACCAGCCTGGCAGGGCCAGCACAGCCATGGCCACACGGAGGGGGTTGAATGGGAGCACTGCTCTGTGTTTTCCTTGAAGAGGCAGTCAGAGCACTCAGCCACCAGAGTTCCCAGTAGGATACCCCGCTTCCACAGCTGGTCCTTGCCACCACGACGGTCCCTTGGGTTTCATGAGGTTCTCTGGACTGGGCTCACAGATGTTCCCAAAAGCAGGGGCTGCAGACAGGGACCAGTCCCTAGTGCTGCATTTCTACCACATCCATCAGCCATGCTCCCTGATGCCAGCCTGTGGGACAGGCCAACATGGTGCTAGCGCACGTTCCCTGCCCACAGGACAGGCTCTTGAGTCTTGGACACAACAGATCCTCTTCTCTGCTCTCCAGCAGTGCAGGGTCGTGATGTGCAAACCCAGATGGGCCAGCCCATCTGGACCATCCATACTACGCTGCCACGACGATCCTGTGATCCACTGGACAGGAGTCAGTGAGGGATTGCCCTCACAGAGCTGGTAAAGCTGTCAGGAGCAGCCCTTGCACTTCCTCACCCTGCTGGGTGCCTGCTGGGATGTTTGGGTGGCCGCTCCCTCGTCCCCTGCTACCGGCCAGCGGCATGGGCTGGCCCGTACCTTTCAGCTCATCCTCGTACACTTTGACCCCCTGCAGACAGTGGTTCTGGGGGAGCATGGTGGTGCTGGACAGGACCTTGGTCTCCCCAGTCACTCTGTCCTTCTCCACTGTGATCTCCACCGAGTACATGGCTGGGACACAAAGAGGACAGCGCAGGTTATGGTGGCCCTGGCCCTCCCCGGCCCTTGCTCTGCGGCTGGCGCTGGGACGGCGTGTGGCACTGCGGTGCTCAGCAGGGCTCAGCAGAGCTCAGCAGGGTTCAGTGGTGCTCAGCAGGGCTCAGCAGAGCTCAGCAGGGTTCAGTGGTGCTCAGCAGGGCTCAGCAGTGTTAGCAAGGCGGCAGCGAGGAGCGGTGAATGGCAGAGGCGGGTATGACATCCCTGGCACATCTCTCCTATTGGGACCCGTGTCCATCCTGGTGCTGCTGGCATCACCTTACCTCCATGGCTGCTGTGGTTCTTCGGCTGAGCCACGTCTGTCTGTCCAGCCAGTGAGCCAGTGCTGGCTGTGGGGCCTGGGCTGGGAGCCAGGTTCATGCTCAAGGAGGTGCAACTCCCACTGAGGGTGCTGGCACTGGGACAGCCCCTCTGCCCCCATGGGATGGGCGATTCTTGGCATCTCTCCTTCCACTCCTGGCCAGTCCCTGCTAGCAGCGGGGTCCCCTCAGCCCTGTGCATGGTGCTTAGCTCCAAAGATCCCAAGTCAGGCTCTGCCCCATGCTGGTGCCATGGTCTGGTCTGAGCCACTGCCCCAAACCAGAGCAAACCCCTCCAGCAGCAGAGCTGGCTGCAGCCCCCCCAGCTCAGGCAGCGTGGCCCCTGTGGTTGGCACTCTTCTGCCTCGCCCCTGCGCAAAGAAGCTGCAAACAGAGCAGGAAGGATGAAACTGGAGCAGAGACATGAAACAGGGCTGAGCTGGAAGGGCCCTGAACCAACCGTGGGGTGGAAGCAAAACCAAACCCTGTGATTGCAATGACGGATGTTCTCTGCCCTGGGCTTGGAAAGGCATCGAGCGGCACGGCGGGGAGCGGCTGCAGTGGCAGCGAGCCGAGGGCAGTGCAGAGGGGAGGGGGAAGCAGCCTGGAAGGAGCACTCCTCCCAGGGCAGTGGGCACCTACCCGCCTTCATCATGTCACTGCCTTCCACTGCCTTCATGGGGCTGCTGGAGACCCTCTTGTCAGCTGGAGATGGAGAGACGACTGCCTGAGCCCAAATGATCGTCCCGTGTGCCCATGGGTCTGGCCCCAGGAAGGGCAGCCTGTCCCCCTATGGCTGGCACCTGGGACAGGCTCCCCTGTCACAGGGCACCACTGCCCAGGAGGGGACATGGGGACAGGGCTCTTTTCTCTTGGCTCTCCCCACCCATCTGGCCCCAGCCTCGGGGCAGCAGGAGGGGATGGTTGGTGCTGAACCACGGCTGAGGGGAATCAGGATTCACCTACCCTTAACTGTGCCCAGTGGACTCTGCAAAACAGAAGGGAGAGGTTATAGAAGCTTCTGGACCTGCCACAGACCTGCTGCCTGCATACCCACACCCATACACCCACCCATCCCCACCAGGGCCGGGGACCCCGACCCCACTGGTGGCAGCCGTGCCCATGGCCAGCAGTCGTGCCCACCTTCTGCGCATTGGGGACAGCCTGAGCCTTCTCCTCCTTGGCTGCTGCCTCTGCCAGGTTCTCCTTGGTCGAAGCCACTGAGCTGCTGTTCTCCAGCGTCTCCAGCTCCTTCTCCAGCCTGCAGGGAGAGTCAGGGCTGAGAGGCCAAGGGGAGTGTGGGACAGGTAACTGTGGTGCAGGCAGCCACAGCAGACCCGTGAACACGGGCCAGCAACACAGTGCAGGAGAGAGGGGAGACACAAATTGTTCCCTGGGCTCACAAGGTGCAGGGACAGACTCTGGCACTGCTGTCACTGTGTCTTTGTAGGGGAAAAGCCGATGGGTTCAGCACCAAGTGGCTGGCAGAGACCCCGCCACGGGCACTGGGCAGGGGGACCGACCCCTGCACACTTGTGGTCCCTCACTTGGTGGCCAGACCGAGGCCGCTCCATCATCGTTCTGCTCCTGCACGTGTCCCTTGAAACCTGGTTGAGCTTTCCACGAGGGCAACCTGCTATTGTCAGCCAGCAGCTTGGCAGCACAGCCCCGCTGGGATGTAGCAGAGATCCGAGGAGTCCCCGTGGATTGTTTCGGCGGCAGCTGCCCCCGGCAGAGCTCCCCCGGGCTCCTCGCACGGCGCCGGCGAGGAATGCACCGCGCCATTAGCCGGACACAAAGGCCCCTTCGTGCCTGACCCCTCTCTGCACCGATGCTCGGTAATTAGCGGCACCACCGTGACTGATTGCATTCCTGCTGCGCTGCCGGGACACCTCCGAGCCGGGGCTCCGGGCCCCCGCCTGCGGCTGCCCAGGGACAAGGGGGCTGGGCAGGGGCTGAGCCATCTCTCTTCTCAACCTCCTCACCCCTTCCCAAGGGCTGGGCCACCAGGACAGAAGCCTGTGGGAGCCAGCACTCTGCCATCAAGGATGCCGGGCACCGAGCAGCACCCCCGAGGGCCCCTACCCTATAGGCTCCCACTGATACAGGACGCAGAGGCAGAGCGCAGCTGGGGATGCTCAGAGGGGCCGCAGGGCTGGGCAGGCTCTAGGTCTGGCTGCAGCCCTACAAAAGCTGGCAAGAACCTAGCCAGGGTCCAGGGTGAGCCCCAGCAGCGCCAAGCTTAGTGTACCCTGCCTTATGCCCAGCCATAGGATCCAGCTGAATCTCAGCACCCACCTGCCCAGGGGGTCTCTGGAGGGACATGGGTGCTCTCTGACTACACCCCAACATCTGGCCCCGTTACCTCTGGATGGTTTCCTCCAGCTCCTTGGTCTTCACCTCATCCTCCTGCATCTGTTTCTTCATGGCCTCTTCCTCCTCGGAGGCAGAAGCTGGGGCCCCCTCCAGGAGCCATCTCTCCCTCAGAGCCTTGGACTGAGGAGCAGAAGGGGGTCACTGTTCTGCCCTCCCCAGCCGGGGTCTCCGCGGCGCAGAGGCAGCCTGGGGGTCCCGGGGGATCCTCACCTTGAGATGCTGCAGCTGCCGCCTGTCATCCTCGAGCTGCCGCCTTTTGTTCTCGATCTCCGTCTGACGCTTCCGCTTCTCCTGGAGGGACGGGAGCGGCGGAGCCGGGGTCGGTGCGGGGAGGGGGTGGGAGACGGGCATGGCCGGGCAGGGAGGAACGAGGCCAAGGGGCTGCCCTCGGGGACAGGGGTTTGCGGGACCAGCCTTGGGAACACCTCACGGCAAGCTTGGTAACACGTCCCCACCCTCTGGGACAAACTGAGGCATTGAAGGTGTAAAGAAATCGGGGCAGAGCCTGGGCTCTGTTCACCATCTCAAAATGTCACCTTCCCCTCTGCCGGCCCCACTGAGAGAGCTGCCAGAGCGGGGAGGAACAGCCCCCGCAGCCTCTACCTCGTCCCCCCCTCCCCGCCACCCGTCCTGGGGCTGCTCCAGATCATTTCAGCAGAGTCAGACCCAGCCCGGACGCGTCACCCGTCGCTTTCTCCTCTGGTCCAGAACAATTTGCCCTTTGTGCGGCAGAGATCGGCTGGTTGCCGGCTGGGCTGGGCAGTGGGGCTGCCATGGGGCAGCAGTGGGTTCAACCAGCCCCGTGCCCTGCTCTGTGCTGGGAGGGGTTGCTCAGGAGGGCCCCCAGCTGCTCACTAATTAATGTAATTATTAGTGCCCATGATGGGCATGGCTGGAGAGCACCATCCTCAGCCCTTCCTGGGGAAGGGGGGGAGGAGGGAATCATCACTCATTTCCCTCACTTGGGGCTCGTCAAGGCACTGCTTCGTTAATTAAACCTCCCAGCTGCCTGTTGCTTGCTCTGTCCCTGTTTCAACCGTGCAGCCAAGCCATTCTGGCTCTGACACCCCAGGAAGAGCCCCCACAGGGACACACAGGCATGGGCCATTCTGAGTCCTTGTTCAGCTGCTGGACACCCCTGGTCTGTGGCCGAGCACCTGCACCAGCTCTCCTGCACCTGCACCCTCCTCCCCACTGGTGTCTGCCCCGTGTGCTGCAGGTGATGATTTGGGGACATGGGGACATGGGGACGCTGGCCTGAGCAGGGACTCACCGCGATGGCCTGCAGCCTCTCCTGCTGAAGGGTGCTGGCCTCCACGACCCTGCAGAGAGCAGAGAGCAGTTGTGAGGAGTGACACCAGTGGCAGGTGACTGGGACAGTGTGCAACCAGCAAACCAGACACTGTGGTACACGGACAAAGGCTGAGCCCTTCCCTTCTACCGGCTGTTTCCTCCTCACTACCCTGAAGCCAAGCACCCATCACTGGCTCCTCCAGGCACCCCTTGGCCCCTGTCCTGCCCAAATCCCCCGGGACAGGCGCCTTGCCCAGCACCTGGAGGACTCATCTCATGCAGACCCACTCCTGCCGTGGCGCAGATGGAAACCGTGACCACGGAGGGGCTGGAGCAGGACTCTTCTGGCTGCCCTGCGTTCCAATCTGGCTCACACTTTCCATTCCAAGCCCGTTTCTTGGCTGCTGACACCTTTCCCGGACAGTGACCTTTCCGGGCTGCGCACAGAGGCACACGCACTCACATGTGCACAGACGCACAGGCAGACACACTGACACACTCAGACACACGCATGACAACAGGCTCTGCTCCTGATGACGTTTGTGTTTGGGCCCAGCACCTGCCTCTGCAGCACGAGCTGCCATAGCCGTGCTGGGGATGCTGCTGGGGGCAGCTGCCTCTCTGGCCTGGCACAGCTCTCCCAGGTACACTGGAGTGCTGCAAGGAGGGATTATCCCCCATCCCCTCAGCCACCTGCCCACATACCCGCCTTCCTGTGTCCCCATGGTGTGGTGAGCCAGGCCGGTCCAACCAGCAGCAAAGCCCCCGGGGTCTGGTAAGAGCCCCCACGCCACGGAGCACCAGGTGCAGGTTCAGTGCCGGGAGCCACAGAGGGGCTGGGGTGGCTGGCGGGGCCGGCTGGGACCAGGATGCTCCAGCACGACAGGAGCCTCTGGCTGCTCGCCAGACGGTGCTAACGAAGTGCTGGGCTGTGGCAGTAATTAGGGTGGGAGGCACTGAGGTATTGTCAGGCAATGGATCATCTCAGCTTGCTTCCTAGAGCAAGGGACAGAGAGGTGGACTCCGTGCTCCGAGGAAGGGGGCTTGACGAAGATGGTTTTACACACAGGGTGGGCTCGGGGTGCGGAGCCCCACATATGACACCCTGGGCTCTCACATGCCAGCCATGTCTGTGCCCTCACACAGGCTCCCCACAGGCTTTCCCACGACTCTACAGGGAGAGAGGAGCCCCTGCCCCCGCCTGCTCCCTCCTCGAAGCCAGCAATTAACTGGGAGCTGCTCAGAGTCGCCGTCCTCCCCTCACCCCACACCCTGGGGATCCCTGCGATGCGCAAAATCCGGGCCAGGAAAACAAACGGGGAAGGTGTCGCTTTTGTGGTGGTTATTTTCGTGCTGTTTGCTGCGACGCTGTGGCTGTTTCACGAGCGCAGGCGCACGGCACTGCTCTCACACCCGTGTATCCTGTGTGTCCCCCACCAGCCCCACAGCTCCAGGGCTGCCCATCATCATGGGCTTCCTCTTGGTCTGGGGCCACAAGTCCCCTCAGTCCAGCTCTTGGCACCCCACACTCACAGGGTGTTGAACTGGGCCCTGTTTCTCTCCTGGATCTTTCCCTGTTCGATGGATCCAAACTTTTACAGCATTCCTGAAACATTCTGTTCTGCTTTTCCTCCCTCCTCCATCCTCTTTATTTTCCATTATTTGCTACAGTCTCCACATTCCCAGGTCAGACGCCAGGAATCTTCCTGGCCCAGGGAGAGACGCAAAACAGGCTGGATGCCCCTCTCAGGCTGGATGCAATCTCTCAGCCTGTTTAGACCCTGTCCTGGGGGCTCTGATCCATCGAGGGGGGCTGAGCGGGGACCACCCTGGCACCCCCAATCCCTGCCTTCTGGGAGAAGGCGCTGAGGTGGAGGCAGGGGGTCCCACGCTCCCCAAAAGCCCCATCCTGCCTGCCATGACCTGTCTCTGGGGTCGGTGTGATGGGGCCCCGCTGCTGCCGGCCCTTGTGACTGATGAAGGCGGTTCCCTGGCAATGGTTCCCTGGCAACAGTGCCATGGCAACGGCGCTATGGCAACGGGCGAGTGCCGAGGGGATGTGGGGGGATACTCCAGGGGATATGGGGGGATACAGAGAGACCACGGGGCCCCCCGGGACTGGGATGCCCTCCCCAGGCCTGGCCCCTCGGCAGCACTTGGGCCAAAGCCGTGGCATCACTGGGGCCTCCTTAGGGGATCTGGTGATCCCAATCCATCCTGGGTGCCAGGAAGGTGATGCCGGGGCTACTGAGCTCCTCAGGAGCCACCAGCCCAGACAAGGAGCTGGGAGAAGGAGCAGGGACATGGGGGATGATGCCCTGGGAGCTCCCAGCAGCAGTTCCCAGGCCCGAGGCTGGACCCACACAAACGTGTGAGCACACGCACACCCGTGCATGCACCCGCGCTCTCCCTTGGCTCTCCAGCTCTTTCCAGCCCTGCTGATGCTGCCGTTTCCCACCATCACAAGGGAAGCCCGTGACCTTTTGTCTCCTCCCGCCTGACATGAAACAATAATGTTTATTTGCCTTCCTCTGTTTTTTCCCATTAGCTCATCCAAATGTGTGAAGAGCCGTTTCAAGCTGCTCCTTTGGTCCCCTGACCTCCCCTCCCTCTCCACCCACTCAGCTCCAAGCTAGGGGAACACAGGAGAGCGCCCTGCATGGCCACCACCCCTGTATAGGCCCAGGGTCTGTGGTAAAGGCAGCAGTCGAGGGATCAGCGCTGATTTCCAGCACCATTCCCATGCCAGGAGCCGGCCCCTTGGCCGGGCCCGGAGTGACGCGGCCGTGGAGAGGCTGCAAAGCCCTGTCACAAAGCCATTAACAGCGGGGCCGGGATCGAACGCCCCCGATGGCAGGCGCGGGAGGGAAGGGAAGGGAGGGGAGGGGGCTGCAGCCGCCCGGGGGCCGCCATGCATCGACCATGAAGGCAAATGCATCAGTGGCAGCGGTTTGGGCAATGATGGCCAGAAATCCGTGTGCCCAGCCCAGGGTCCTGGTACAGGAGTGCTGCTCCTGCCCTGCCCCACAGTGTGGCTGCCTCCTCCCGCTGCTGCTGCATCACCCCAGTGCGCATCCCACTCCTTCCAGCTGCCTTCCCCGCGCTCCCACTGCCTGCGCAGCCCCAGCCATCGCCGCTGCCCGGGGAGGGGACAGGGACAGAGGGAGGCGGGGGGAGGAGATGGCAGCCCCAGGCTCCCGAAAACGCAGATGCATTAGAGCAAGCGGAGCTGCCTGATTGATTCTCCGGGCTGAGACGTGGGCTGGGAGTGCCAGGAGAAAATGGATCCCATGAATATTTGATGAACGGAGGCTTGGGGAGGGAGTTTGATTGGAAAATTACAGATCTTTCAAACAATGGTTCAAGTGCCCTCCAAACCTTTGGGTTTCCAGCTCCTTTCCAGTTAGAGGAGCAAGACTTCACCAGGAAACTCCCCCCCAGAATTCATGAATGAGAGTGGAGCTGGCCGCTCCCCACCCCCAGAAGCACTGGCCGGCCAGGACAGGCAATCCTGGCACTGGCCAGGATATGGCACCTGTCTCCTGTCACCAGCCAGGATGTGGCACCTGTCTCCTGTTACCAGCCATCCCTGGGTTCCTGTTCTCGTGTGGTGGCGTGGCTTTCCCACAGCAATGCCGTGAGCACAGGCACACAAGATGTTCCAAGGAGCCAGCAGGAATGTGAATCCAGGCACAGGCACCCGTGTGAGCCCTGACACCCATGGGGAGCTGAGTCCTCAGTGCCAAGCCCAGGGGCTGGGCCCAACCCACGTCCAGCCATGCTCCATCAGGAAACACCTGTCTGAGGCAGGATCCACCCGGCTCCTCTCTCTCCTCCGGGCTCATCCTCGCCCCTGACAGTGGCTCCTGTCTGGGACCTGGGGGCTGCTTGTCTCCGGATGGAGTGAAGAGACTCAGGAATCTGGGCTGTGCCTCCAGCCCCAGTCCTGGCGCCTCTGCTCAACCCTGTCCCAGGGCACAGCACTTCCTCAGCTTTCCTTCTGGAACCCCAGCTCAGCTCCCTGCACAACTCCCAGCATAGCTACAGCACATGAACCCCCATTCCCCTCGGGAAAGGGGCTGTTTCTGGCCAGGAAGCAGGAATGCCAACACCAGCACTTCCCAGGAAACCTGTTCCAGTTCCTCTCAGCAAGGCAGGTCCAGCTGAGAGGCCCTGTCATGGAGCTGAGCTCTGAACCCCATGATCTGCCAGCCCCAAGCAGGGCTGGGTGCTGTTGTGGGGTCATCTGTGGTGGAGCCTTATGGCCTCCTCTGGGAGAGGTGGAAGGGTGACAGTGCTGCTCCTCTGGCTGCACACAGGGACAGGACAGACCTGACCCCTTCTGGTTCCTTGCACGTGGCCAGGAGACAGTGGGGTCTGGCTTGGGTTTCACTTCTCCCTGGATGCTAGCAGAGAGCAAGGTCTTGAGTCCCTTCCCGAAGGACTCATGGGTTATTTCTCAGCAATAAATCTCCCTCCTTCCCCTGGGTACAACTGTCAGCTTCAGATCAGGGCTGGGAAGGCAGGACTAGGAGAGCCCTTGCTCCAAGGAGACCCTCAAAGCCAAGGAGAAAGAAGCAACTGAGACAAACAACCAGAGCAGCCAGATGTGAGATGCAGGATCTCCAGCTGCTCACGAGCACTGATAGCAGCGGGAGCAGAGGGCAGAAGAGCAGCTCCACTGGGACCAGCACAGCCTTTACCAGAGTTGGAAAGTTTCTGCCAAACCTCCCTGGGCACCAGTGAATTGTGGCAGCCAGGATCCTCCTCCAGCTAATGCCCGTGCCAAGGCAAAGCTGGAGCCAGGGCAAAGGCAGCAGTGCCCGCCCCAACACCCGTTGGCTGCCACAGAGCCAGGCCAACAGCAGGGCAGCACCTTGCCATGTCCCCAGCTGCCCTGGGGCCCTCCTAATCCTCCAGCCCCAAGGCCACACTCTGGAGCTGAGTGGCTGGAGGGGTCGTGTTGTTTTGCTTTGTGGCTGTGCCTCACCCCCCCCGGGGTCACTCGTGGAGTTTCACTTCAAAGAAAGAGACATTGGCAAGTCCAGTGTATGGAGCACCCTTTGAACCCCTCCATGGGCTCTTTGGCCCTTGCTGGGAGGGTTGGTCCAGGGCAGGGTGAATGGCAGCATATGGAGCCCAGGGGCAGGAGCCACCATCCTGTCCAGCACCAACTCCCACCTCAGCCCCAGCCCCAGACGCCTCCTCCCCAGGAGAGCCCAGCAGCTTCTCACCCCCTCCCCAGGGCACGGCACACCCCTGGGCTCTGCCCTTCCCCTGGCTGCTGCCTTTTGGCAAATCAAGCACATTTTCCTCCCCAAAGAGGCTCTTTCCTGCAGGGACTTTGGCGCCGTGAAGCTGCCCGAAGCCCTGGCCCTGCCTCTGGCCCCTCCAGCAGCACGGGGAGCCACTCTGCCTCCCCAGTCCCTCAGCTGCTGCGCTCCAATCTCCAAAACATCCCCACATCCCTGCTGGTGCCCCCAGCTCAGTTCCAGCTCCAAATCAGCCAGAGCCCACCCTGGCCCCAGGACACCCCCGCCTCACCCCTCACCAGTGCCCCACGGCCTCTTGGCGCTCCCAGATGAGACACAGGCAGTGGTGAGAGGGACCTGTTGAGCACCCGTTGTCTCAGCAGCCAGTGGTCAGTGGATCAGTGCAAGGTGAGGTGCCCACGGGGAGCAGAGGGTGGCTGACCCCGAGCTGCCTGGGCGCCCCAGGAACGCCCAGTGCCAAACCCAGGCAGTTGCTGGGGTGTTCACCATGGTGGGGACCAGAGCCACAGGAGGGAAGGAAAGGCCTGGGTGACACAGGGCCAGCACTGGCTTGTAGCACCTCGAGCAGCCCCCTAGCCCTGTACCCTCCTTGGCACCAGCTGCTGGTCCCTAAAGGGGCAAAACCAGCACACGGGTAGGACAGTCTGTGGCCACAAGCCCCTAGTGGCCTCTGCCTGTTCCGTCCTTCCCCCACCCGCCCAGCTCCAAGCTTCCAGCGACCGGTCAGGGCCCCACCGCAGCACACAAAGGATGAGGCCGGGGTCGGAGAGTGTCCGTCTGTCCAGACTTCTCCAGTGGGACCCGGTTCATGAGGATCCCCTGGCCACAGCCGGTTCCCTGGGCAGGGGCTGGGGGTGCAGTGCAGGGAGGGGTCCACAGCTCTTTCCACCCACTCACCCCACCACACGCAGCAGCAACAACAGGTTCAAAACACAAAAATAAACGCCCTCCCCGCCCCCCGCTTCCTGCACCGCTGCCAGCCCCGGCACCCCCCGCACCCTCTGCACCCCCCGCACTCTCTGCACCTCCGCACCCACCCCGGGGCCTCTGCTGCTGCCCCCCAAGCCGGCCCTCCAGCACCCCACGGCGGGGCAGGGACTGGGGAGGGGCCGCACCTGCTGAGCGGCACTGGGGGGAAGGAGGCCCCGGAATCGGGGTCCCGAGCCCCAGAACCGAGGGAATGGGAGCCCCCCCGTATTGGGGTTCTGAGCTCCAGTATCTGACGGGATGTGAGCCCCCAGTTTTGGGGTCACAAGCCCAGGAACGGGGGGGGAATGCGAGCCCCACCCCCGGTTTTGGGGTCCCAAGCCTCAGCATAGGGGGACACAAACCTCTAGGATTGGAGTCCTGAATTCCCAGAATCAGGGGGATGCGAGCCTCCGGTTTTGGGGTGCTGAGTGCTCAGGAGCAGGGGGATATGAGACCCCAGGTTCGGACTCCCCAGCCCCGGCATCGGGGGTGTACGAGCCTCCGGTACGAGCTCCATGAGCCAGCGGAGCGAGCTTCTCACAGCCCCGGTGCGGGGGTCCCGAGCCCCGGCCCCCGCTCCCGGCTCCCCCCCTCCCCGGTACTGCGGTCTCAGCCGGCGGGGCCCGGGGGGGCCGCGGCCCGGTGCCGGGGTCCCGGCGCGGTTCCGGTACTCACTCCATGGTCCCGGCGGCGGCTCCGGCGGGGGCGGGGGACGGCGGAGCGGGGCCGGCGGCCGCCGGCGTCCCGGCACTCAGGGCCCGGCGGGCGGCGGCATCCCCGGCGGGGCTGCGGGATGCGCAGGGATGTCGGGACCGCGCCGGTGCTCCCGCCTCCCTCCCGCACAGCTCCGTCTGCCGGGCGCGCCCCGCCACTGCCGCCGCCCATCATCCGGCCTCGGGGCGCGCCGAGGATTCATCTGCTCCTGGGGGTGCCAGGTGGGTCCTGACCCGCCACCGCCGCCACCCATCACCCGGCCTTGGGGGTTCCCCGGAGCTGTGGCAGGTGCTGGGGGTCCCGAAGCGGGTCCTGGTTGTGCAGTGTCCGGTGCGGAGCTGGTTGGATGGGCTGCATTCACAGCCCCTCCATGAACGCAGCTCCTATCAGTGTGTAACCTCCTCCTGTGAATGCAGGCACTCTGTCCTGCCCCACTCCAGGAACCGCCGACTCTTTGCTCCCCCTTTCCGCTCCCCCATTTCTCAACCCAACGGCCATAATGGGCAAACTGCCACAGGAAGCCCTAAGCCACCGTCCGTTGGGAAATCTGCCTGCTGCCGGGCAAGAATTCTTCACTTGGCCCCAAAACAAGCCTGGCTCTGCAGTGAGGGTCAACATATCCCCCCATCCCCTTGCTCCCCACCCCCTGCACCCCTTTTTGCATTCCAGGGTGATGCAGAACAGAGGGAGGAAACTGCCCCTCTGCCCACAGCATCATCCCGGGGCCACTGGGGCTCTGGAGGGGCTGCAAGAGGAGTCGGATGGTAGCACAGCACAGTTCCTGTGTCACCCACAGCAGTCCCGGGGACACTGCCGACTCTGAGAGATGTCCTGGGGCCCCGCTGCTGCCACCTCCCTGCCGAGAGGGGTTTCATCCCAGTTAGCTCAAGGCACAAGAGGAATCAGGGCTGAGAAACTGCTCTGCTACCCATCTCCCACTCCAGGAGAAACTGCACGGAGCTGCCAGGGCCCCCGACCCCTGAATTGCACAAAGCAGCAACACCCGGAGAGGAGGAAGCAGGAGGGGAAAACCCGCCCCCATTCCAAGGCTCAACCCCCAAAGGGATTTAAGAACCCCCCCCCCCCCCCCGAGCAACCCCAGCTGTGGTGGCAGTGGCCCACTCTATGCCACCATGGTCACAGTTAGGCTCTTCATCCTCAGCCTGGGAGGCTCCATCCTGCTCCCAGCTCTGGCCCCGGCAGGTAATGAGAGAAATGGGGTGCCAGGGCAGATCCCCGGGCTGGGAGATAGGAACCCTGGATTTCCCTGTGGCATAGGGGAAGACAATGATCACCTGCACCCACCAGGCACCCAGGGGAGCCAGATCATCGGGGGAAAGGCAGCAGCACCCCATTCCCGGCCCTTCATCGCCTCCATCCAGATGGACGGGGAGCATGTCTGCGGGGGCTTCCTGGTGTGGCCCAAGTGGGTGATGACAGCTGCCCACTGCCTCATTCCCAGGTGAGCCCTGTCCCACGTGTCCTCTGGACATGGTGCGGCCCCTTCTAACCAATAACCCCAAGGGGTTAAACTGCCCCTTTCCACCTGTGCCCCCCTTGAGTCCCCCGTGGCCATCCCTCCCTCCCCGATGGCTACCAGCCACAGCAGCGCCTTCTCAGCCCCGCCTTGGCCACAGGCGCAGCCCCTCGGTGCGCGTGGTGCTGGGAGCCCACCGGCTGCAGGAGCCCGAGGAGTCCCAGCAGATCTTCAGTGTGGTCGAGTCCATCGCCCACCCACTCTACAACCCCCGTGCCGTGGACAACGACATCCGCCTGCTCCAGGTGAGTCTGCACGGGGCACCCAGCGGCCCGGCAGTGGGGTATCCTACAGCCCTGGGGTGTGAGAGGGAGGCGGGGTGCCCCACAGCCCTGGGGTGTGAGAGGGAGGCGGTGTGCCCCACGGCCCTGGGGTGCGAGAGGAAATGGGGTGCCCCATGGCCCCGGGGCACTGGGAGGGAACTGGGGTGTCCACGGCCCCAGAGCACCGGCAGGGAGGATGGGTGCCCCACGGCCCCAGGGCACCGGGAGGAGGTGGGGTGCCCCACGAGGGGCCGAGCCGACACTAGATGTCAGTGCTTCTCCGGAGAAGCAAGACCGCGCCGTGGGGTGTGATGGAGGCACTGAGGACACACCGACCCTGTCCAGGTCAGCGACTCCCGGGCAGCCGGTCTCTACAGCACAGTGGGACCAGTTCAGAGGGGCTGACAGGGAGGGGCCCAGCCTCTGAAGAGGGAAGGGCAGAACTGGGGGCTCAGCAGGAGCAGTGAGCTGGAGCGCGAGGGAGCACCAGGCAGGAGCAGCTGGGGGGCTCTGCCCCAGCAGCAAAGCCACCCACGCCCTTGCTACCCACCCAGCTGAACAGGTCAGCCACGCTGAACAAGTACGTGAAGCGGATCCGCCTGCCTTCACCACACATCGACCTGAAGCCCGGCACTGTCTGCTACGTGATGGGCTGGGGGGACACCTCCAACTTTGGAGACCAGCCCACTGAGCTGATGGAGACCAACACCACCATCGTCAAGCGGAGCTTGTGCCGGACGCTGTGGAGAGGCAAGGTCTCGGCCAACATGCTGTGCGGGGCCAGCCGCAACGCCACGCTGCAGGGTGTCTGTGCCGTGAGTGCACCCCTGACCCCGTGCCCCACACTGTCCCCCGCCCCGGGAGATCCTCAGATCTCCCTCCCACCCCCTCATTTTGCAGGGTGACTCCGGGGGACCCCTGGTCTTCAAGGACAAGGTTTATGGCATCGTCTCCTTCTCTGGGGAGAGATGCGGGGACCGCCGGTACCCTGACATCTACACCAAGATCTCCAACTACATTGAGTGGGTGCATCACACTGTGCAAAGGTTCCGCCGTCGGAAAGGGTGGCTGAAGCCCTGGTGTGGCTCAGAGTCCTGGGGGCAGGAGGGCTGTGGGAAGAGGGACTGAGATGTCTCACGGGAGGGGAGAAGAGGGAGAGAGGAGAACATATCCTCCAGCTCTGGAGGGGCTGGGAGCTGATGCTCAGGGCTCCTTGACCAAGGTCAGGGCAGGAGCCCGCCTCTGCCCATTGGCAATAACACACTAAGGAGTGTTATGTACCCCCTAGGCTATACTAGAAGCCCGTCGTACATCCTCTCGCAGTGACAGCATTTGCCTTCCTCAATAAACCCTCAGACCCCATCCCACCACTCCCCCGTTGTGTTTTTGGTCCCCCCGACTTGTCCTGGGCATGTGTGGATGGAGCACGGGGTGCAGGAGGGAGGGGAGTGCAGGCCCTGCCCTAGAGGAGCCGGGATCTGCATCCAGGTGCTGCCACCCCAGAAGCATCCCCAGCTGCCTTCCCGCCGGGGTGTGGCTCCCCATCCCGTCCCACCCCGTCTCATCCCATCCCGCCTCATCCTGTTCCATCCCGTCCCACACCGCACCCTCCCCACCGCGCGACGTGACCCCCCAAAGAGGGGAACCACAGACACCCCCCGGGGGCAGGCGGGCTCCCAGCTGCGCTGGCGGAGCCCACAGGGATCGGGATCCCGTCGGGAGCCTCACCCGCCTCCCCCGCGCGCAGACGGGAGCGGGGTGCCCGCAGTGGCCGGCAGACGTGTGCCGAGCTGCTGCTGGGTCTCAGCTGAGACACGTGTGGCTCTGCCTGGAGTCCCCGGGGACAGACCCAGACATTCCCTGCTCCTGGCTGTTTGTTTTATCCGCAAATTGCTGGCACGCCGTGGCTGCTGCAGGGCCTTGCACGGGGTCAGGAGATGCAAGCCGCAGGCAGCGGTGGCCTTGGGGACATCCAGCAGAGAACAGATCCCTGCCAGGCTGCCAGCCTCCAAAGAAATCCCAAATCCCAGTGAGGTGCTGGCAGTGACAGCGTGGGGCAGAGACCCCCTGGAATGCCGGGACAGGACTGCCAGCCCGAGGGCATCCGCGCTGGCAGAGAGCCTGGAGAGCCGGCGCCTGTCCCGGCTTGTCCCAGACCACCCAAAAACCGGTGGGAAGGCGGCGCCTGACTCACAGCCGTGTTTTGGAAGCTGAAATCTCCCGCTCATCACAGGAGCTGCCGTTGCCGCCGCAGCCCGTGCCCGCGGGCTCGGCACGGAGCCACCCGCCGGGCGCTCCGGGGCCAAACCCTGCGGCGGGGCGGGCAGGACGGGGAGCTGCCGTGGGCAGGAAGCGCTGCTGGCGGCCGCGGAGGAACCCAGGCCACACATCACCGGGTGTGGTGGTACCTGGAAAAGCATGGGCAGTGTTTGGAGAACTCCTGGATACCCACCCCCAAAAGCAGGGGGACACCGCTGACTGAGCTGGGCGAACAGAGAGGGGCTGTAGGAGAACCCCCCATGCCAGCCCCAGGTTATCTGAGATGTCTTTTCCAACCTAAATGGTTCCATGGTTCTCTGTGATGCACCCCCGGGCTGGTCCTGGCTCTGAGGGGATTGGCCAGGGGTCAGGGGCTGTGCCATGCCGGCCCCCGGCACAGGGGATGCGGCTGAGGGGGATCCGGCAGCAGTTCCCGTGGAGCTCAGCACGCCAAGCCGCAGGCTGCTGCCCGGGAAACATCCCACATCGGGACCCAATTACCGGCAGGAATTGTTTTGTGAAATACCAAACCCTCATGGCACGGCCCGAGATTGGGAACAGATTTATCTGCGTCGCGGGTTGCTCTTCCCCGCTCTCCCCTTCCCTCCCACCGCACAGAGCAGCCTCGGCTGGGCTGGAAAAGCCCAGCATGAAGCTGGAGCAGATGGGATGAGGCTCCTAATGGCTGCGGGGGGCTCCTGGCATCCCTAAACCCTGGTGCGGATGCACAGCCCCAAGGAGAACAACGCTTCCTGCGACCCCAGAACCCACCAACAAAACCGGGTATACGCCACTGTTTATTCTGGTTTTTAATTGTAATCCAAATCATAACACAGCCGTAAAATGCCCCAACAATATGGAATAGGGAATGTGGATGTTCCCAAAGCATCTACCTCGGGGGTCAGAACCCAATCATACAAAAATAGAAAATAAGGTATTTTTATATATAATATATATATGATATTTATATAAAGTCAAGAGCTTTTTTGGTGTCAGAGCTGAGCTGGTATTTACACAGGTGACAACGGAAGAAATGAGAGAAGGAGTAAAAATAAATACAGGTGTGGGCAGAGCAGGGGGTGCGGGGCCACGCAGCCGCGGGGAGGGGTCCTGGGGGGGTGGACAGCTCCAGCTCCCCCCGCTGCCCGGGCTGTGCCCAAAGCTGTTCTGGGATTAGGAGAGCTGGGGGCAGCTGCCCTGGGTGATGGGCTCTGGGGAGGGGGACCGTTGTGCCCCCCAGCCAGGGCTGCCACTGCACCAGCCCTCCGGGCACCGGCGTCGCCTCCAAAGATGGTGGGAGCCTGGTCTGAATGGGCCTAGGAAAACCTAAACTGAAATCCATTTGAACACACACATGCTGAAACTTTAGGAGACAATAACATACATGTATTTTTTTTATATATATATAGAAAAATATATATCTATCTCTCTCCAATCTGATGCAGCGTGCACTGCCTTTCCTGCCACTGGCAGCTGGGGCCGAGCCCCTCAGGGAAGGCGAAAGCGCAGATTCCCTCTAGACCTCGAGGTCCTGGCCAGAAACGTCAGCAGAGTACCGAGAATTAATCCAAAAATAAATAGGCCCAGGGCTGCCGGCCAAGGACACGTGGGGGGGGGGGGGGGGCCACGGACACCCCTCCGCTCCGCACCGCACCGGCAGCAGGGAAGGGCACCGGCCACTCTGCCGGGCACCAGGTGGGCACTGGAGCATCCCAGGTCATCTCAGCCCTGCTCCAGCCATGAGCCCCCTCCCCTGCTCCCTGGCCGGCAGGATGGGAATCGAGCCCCCTGCGACTGCTTAACATACACAGGGATAAATAAGGATCTTTTTATCTTAATAAATATCAGGTATATGGTTTGTACAATATACACATAATGCCCCTGTCTCCCAGCTCCGGCTCGGCCGAGGGACGATTCACACGTAGTTCTCCTCCACGCTGTCCGTCTCTGAGGAGAATTTGGCCGCAGCTGGAAACAGAGAGAAGTGGTGAGAGGGGTGCGAGGGGCGAGCAGGCGCTGCGGGTCCGCGCCCGCTGCCCCCTGCCCCGCCCTGCTCACCTGAGCAGCTCCCGTAGTGGCGCACGCCGATGGAGCGGCCGCGGTGGCAGGTGGCACGCCGCAGGTGGCACGCCGAGGGGTAGGTGACGTTGTTGTTGCCGCAGAGGGCGTGGTCCAGGCTGGTGGGCTCAGGGCAGGGGGCTGTCCGGCACATCACACAGTGGGCGCTGCCTGTCTGGTCCACCACGCAGGTGTGGGTGCCAGGACACACCACGCTGGAGCAGGACTCTGCAGGGAAGCAGAGGGTTGGAATGACCCCAGGGATGGCCACCCCCTTCCTACAGCCACTTCACCCCAGGCAGGCTTTGGGCATCATCCCAGGGAAACCCAATCTCCTCCCTCCTTCTGTTACCAGGGGACAGAGCAGAGCCAGAGGGTCCTGATCTCCCCCATCAGTGATGTTCCCAAGGTCAGGGGCTGGCAGGGCCGGCATCCTGAGCACAAGGGAGCGCTCATGACCTTGAGTCCCCAGGCTCGGCCCTGGCCAGAGCTTTGCCACGCGGGAGGAGCCAAGGTCCAGCTGCAGCAGCAGAGTGCGGGGCTGAGCCCGCTCGGCGCAGCGGGACCTGGCTGGGCCAGCGGCCGCACGCAGGTGCCTTGGCAGGGAAGCAGCAGCCACTGCGGCCAGGCTGGCAGCTGCCGTGCTGGCCCCGGCGAGAGGGAAGGGCAGGGTCACCCTGGACCAGACCCAGCACTGGAACGAGGGCGCACGGGGGTGGAGGGAGCCTGCGCAGCAGGATCAGGCCCTGCACAGGGTTCTGCTGGGGTGGGTGGAGGCTCGTGCACCCCCATCTCCCTCCACCCTCCTCTCTTTCCCTGATGGATTGGAAGATTTGGCATCTGCAGCTCCCAACTCCCATTTCTTGCCCCACGTTTCCCTGCGCAGCCCAGAGCTCGACAGGCAAAGCCTTCCAGAAAGGAGGGCTGGAAAAATAACCATAATCCTTCTGACAGCTCTTGGCAGGGCTAGGAGGATCGCTGCACTCTTTACAAAAGAGGAAAAAAAGGGGCTTGACGTTTGTAAATGACATTTTAGGGACTGTTACTGCTCAGCCTGCAGCAAGGCCAAACCCCATTGCACCAACAATCTGCAATGTCCCCTCAGGGGGCAATGAGACCCACGTCCTGCAGGGCCCTGCACCAGGACAGACCTCCCCTCCTTGTACCACAGGGAATGGGGACAGGATGGGGATGGGATGCAGTGGGGTAGGGGTACGACTGCACCTACTTTTGCATTTGCCTTGGTACATCACTTCGAGGTCGGGGTGGTCTCTGCACTTGGCCGTCAGCAGATCACACTCGTCCCGGTAGGTGTAGCCATCCGAGCCACAGACCTGCAGCTTGCGGGGCAGGCTGGAGCAGTCGGGGGCACAGGCACACTGGGGACGCCCGTGCTTCATCTTGCAGACCTTGTCGGGGCCGCACACCACCCCCTCGCAGCTCTCTGGGGACAGAGGGCAGCAGCACATGAGGATGCAGCACTGGCTGTTCCCCACCAGGGAAGGGTCCATACTGCCTGGCCCCGCAGTGTGACACCAAGTGGGACAGGGACAGCATGGCCCTCGTGATCCCAAACGCCCCCCGGATCACAGCACGCGTGCTGACGCCGGGCTGTCCCAGCAGCATCTGGATCTGCTCAGCTCCTCCAAGGAGCAGGTCGTTGGCTGCGACTCCACACAATCCTCCAGTGCTCACCCCAGCCGGAGCCCCGGCTCCACTCAGCACCAGCTCACTCCTTCCCATCTATTTATTCTTTGGAAGGAGACATTTCTTTTTCTTGTGCAATGGAAAAATCTATCTCTACAAGGCCCCAGTTCCTCCAGAAGGAGCTGGGCTTCGTGAGTTGTCCGGGCGATGGGGAATGCCGCTCTCAGCAGACAATGCCCGGCCCTGTCTCACTCCGTGACTGGAACACAAGAGCGGGAGGCAGCAGCCAGCGCCGGTCCCCAGACAGGCAGATGCTTTGTCCCCCCGGGTCACCTCCCGGCCAGCGTGGGGGCCAGGTTCAGGGGGTCCTGCCAGTGCCCCAGGACCGTGCCCACACCGGCGGGGATGGAGAGGGGCCACCAGCTCCAACCAGGGGCCCATCCTGGTGTCCAGGGGCCCAGAAACTGGTGCTTCTGCAAGGACAGGCAAAGAGGTCAGTATCAGGGATGGGGGGCTCTGGCTGGGGCAGCTTTGCCTCCCAAAGCACACACATCCCTCACCCCAAAAACACCCCCATAGGTCCCAGGACACAGGCACTGCCAGGACCCAGCAGCACACATGAAGAGGAAGGCAGGGCAGGACCAAAAGGCTTCCCAAGGTGGGGATTCACCCCCAGCAGGAAGGATCCCCGCAGACAGGGTGTGTGCTGGGAGCTCTGGGAGACACAGAGGGGGATTTCCCTGTGGGAGATGGGCCACCTTAGGAGACATGGAGGAGGAGGGGGAGAAAAAGAAGGGGAAATTCCCTGTCTGCTTGGCCCAGCTGTCCCTGGGGGAAATTCCCTGCTGGGAAACACTTTCCCATCTTGCTCTCTGATTTCCATAGCTGTGGCCTGTCCCAGGGAAGAGAAGGCTGAGACTGGGGGACCCCAGCACAGAAGGGGACAGCTCCATGTCCCAAGGCTGCCAAAGCAAACAAGACCCTATCGCCCTCCACTCTGAGATGCTGCCAGCAGTGCAGAGTCCAATCATCTGGACTATCCCAGCAAGGGATAGTTGGAGCAGTTGGAGAATCCGCCCATGACCCCAACCCTGTAGCCTGGCTTCCCCCTGCACTGGGTCCTTGGGGGGGACACCGTGTCCCCAGCAGCTGGAGCCAGGAATTTCACCTTCCCCCAGAGACCCATTTGCAGAGCCCCCAGGGTCCAGCAAGCACCATCCCTGGCCGCCCCGGCTGCAGCCCACTTTATCCTGGAGTAACCTCTCCCAGCCTCACAAGCCCAGGGAGTGGGAGCACAGCTCCTCTTATCCGCCTTCTTCCAAGGCCTCTGGAGCCTGGTGAGGAGCAGCACCAGCTCCATCTGGATAGGACAGGCAGGGCCTGGCTGAGGGTGGGGGGTTGTGGTGCACGTGCTGGCCAGGCTCTCCAGTGGTTTCCTCAAAGATCCTGCTGCCAGATATCAATAAACCCGGGGAACCGTAGCCCCCACCATGGTCTGTGGCCACTATCAGCCCTCCCCGGGTCCCCCAGCCTCCTGACAGAGATAAGTGAAGTTAGTGCAGACTCCTGCTTGAGGACTGCCCGTCCCCACTTTACTTTGCCTCCAGCCCAAGGGAGCCCCTGGAGAGGGTCCCAGTGCTCCCAGCTCCCTCCAAGCAGAGATGGGGCCAGGGCCAGGATCTCACTCAGCTTTTGGCTGGCACAGTGTGCAGCCCCAAGCTGCAGCAGGACAGGCCTGAGGAGCTGCCATTGCAGCAGTGCCGAGGGGTGCAGGGAGCTGGGGGAAGTGGTTTTGTTAAAAACCTTTTCCCCTTTAAGCAAATAACAACATGACCTTCCAAAGCCCTGCTCCTGCCTCCTGCGGGCAGCAGGTCCTTGAGCGTGTTCTCACACAGCCACGAAAGTGCTGGAGGATCCGCAGCTCCGGCACACGCCAAAACATCTGGCGGGGCTGGAACTCACAGCTGGAGAGTTTCCACTTCTGGAACTGCCCGTTACATAAAGCCATTTCACACACGCGCTGGGAGGAGCGAGGGGCAACGGAGGGGAAGAAATAGATCTTCTTTCCTTAGAAAAACCTGACGAAGTTTCCTTCTGAGCAGCCGTGGTGAGGGCAGGGGAGGGAGGCCCCAGCGCAGAGGGGTTAACTTGGGAACAGCCAGCCCCAGATCCTCTCCCTGCACTTGGCTGCCCTGCCAAGACCTGGGTCATGAATCCCTCTCCACTGGGAGAGCAACTAAAATACACTCAAAACGAGAGCAGCCGGGGGACACAGGCTGTCCCGCCAGCCCTGATCCACAGCAGCATCCGTCCAGGAGCTGCAGCAGCAGGAGCATGGGGTCAGCAGTCCCTGGGGTCCCTGTGCTGTCCCAGACCACCAAGGAGAGCCCTGTCTGCTGAAGGGCAGCCCATCTCTGTGCTGCTGCATCACCCACAGCTGCAGACTCTGAGTATTGCACTCAGGGCTCCACACATTCCCCACGGGCAGAGCTCAGCCCCACAGCAGCCTCTCACCCCCCAACCTCCTCACCTTTGCAGGGGTGGCAGGTCACCAGCCCCAGGAAGCCCAGCAGGCTGATCTTGTTGCCTGGGTAGGTGTAGTTAGACCAGGCCACATCCACGTTGCCATTGGCACAGCATTCTTCCCACGTCACTCCTGTCTTCAGGATCATGGTGCACTTGGCCTCCTTCCCCTGTTGCAGCCAGCAGATTCCACCTGTGGAGAGGGCAGAGGGTGAGGGATCCGTGCTGTGCCAGGACCCCTGTGAAGGGCAGCGAGATCCTGGCTGTGGCTGGACTACCTTGGGGAAGAGGCACCGGGATTACTCCAGTGCCTGGGACAAGTCGGGGAACCTAGAGATGCTCTGTGCCAGCGCCTGTGGCAAAAGAGTTGTCCTAAGGCAGGCATTCCCAACTGGCATGGCAACTCAGTGCCCCTATGGCCACCCCAACACTGCTAGCCCTCTTCTGACAACAGGCTCCAAATCCAGCACTTGGATCACAGGGATGGACCAGTTATCCCAGCACTCCCCGTGATGCTTTGGGAGGTGCCCAGCTTGCTAGCCAGGATCTCTCCCTTGTCCTACCCTGCCTTCATCTCTGCCCAGTTCCTGCCTGGCTCCACAGAGAGGGGGATCCCAGCCCTGGGCAGCAGACAGAGTGGGGCCAGTGGGTGGCTGCTGTGAGTGCTGGATCTCCTGGCATGTGCCAGTGGCCTCACAGAGGGATGGAACTGTTCTCTGACACGGGAGCCCGACACCCACAGCCTCTGCAAGGAGCATCTGAGCCAGCGGCTGGAGCACAGGGCACTTGCCCCAGCCCTTGGGTCTGGGCCAGACCCGCGGCACCGGATCCCTCTGACTCAAAAGCCTGTTTGTTCCGTGACCCACCAGCGAATCAGTTAGATGAATTTTTTTTTTTTTTTGTGAGTGATTTCTTTGCAATTTCCGCCTCTGCAAACCAGCCTCTTGTGACGCTTATTTGGGTTCGTGCTCTCATTAGCTGTGCTTGAGGTTTGCTAAACGGCGAAAGATGGAAGGGAGGGATGGGGGCAGGGACGGGTCTTGCGCTGCCAGGCGGGAGTCGCTCCCCTCCTAAGCAGGATTCACCCTGCTCCAAAGCGGAGCCCGCTCCCTCCCTAGACACCCTGTGCCCCCCTCTTCCCCACGCACACGATTCTGGTTCGGTCACAAGCACACGGGGCTCCCAGCCCGGCTGCATCCGCGGGGCAGCCGTGGATGGAGCAAATCCCTCGGACTGCAGGAGCCAGCGCCTGGACACCTCGGGCAGCGCCAGCCGCTCCAGCATGAGGCTGCCATCGGGGTTTATCCTCCGCAGATTTGTCCAATTGCTCTTCCAAGCTCAATTTCCCGTTACAACACCGCCCGGCCCCCACTCCCCACGGAACATCCAGCATCGTGCGAGGGGAAGGTGGAAACTCCCGCGCCGCTGCGGGAGAGGCGACACCGGAGGCACCGCACGGCTTCGAGGAGCTGGGAAGGGCTGATAGAGCCCCGGGCCGGGGTCTCGGGATTGCCTCTCCCACTGTCCCGACACCGCCCAGGCACGGCGAAAGCCGCTAGCACCGGCAGCGGAACCAAGCTCCGAACTCCACACCCCAGTCACGGACCGGCCCCGCTCCCAGCCCGTCTCACCGGGACCGCAGTCCCGAGCCCGCAGCCCGGGAACAGGGATCCCCCGGGACACACCGGGTGCGGGATGCCGGGGCCAGACAGCGGCACCGCCGCGATCCAGGACGCGGCAGCGGAGCCGGGCGGGACCCGGGCGGTCGATCCCGCCGCGCAGCCACGGGACCCGCCTGACAGAGGGATGACGGGGACCGGGACACCCGAGCGACACCGCCGGGCACCCGGCAGCCGCCGCTCCGCCCGGTAAAGCGGGTTTGCGCCGCCGAGAGCCCGGCATCCGCCCAGCGGGACGGGACAGCGGTGCCCGGGGCTGCCGCCCGATAACGGCGCCGCGACCCCGGGCCGGGCCGCCCCCGCCTCGAGCACCTGCCGGCGGGAGCGGCGTTACCGGCGGCCGGGGCGGAGCGGACCCGGCGGACAGGCTGCGCCGGGAACCCCGCCGGGACCAGGACCCCCGTGGCTCTTACCGTGCGCGGCGGCGGGGCTGCAGAGCGCCAGAAGGCAGAGCGCCAGCCGCAGCGGCATGGCCGGGCCGGGCGGGGACGGGCCGGGACGGGCCGGGGCGCTCCGGTGACCTGTTGCTGTGAGGCGGCGGCGAGGCCGACGGAGCTATAAAGCGGCGGGGCGGCGTGAATCACCGGGCGGGGCGGCGCGGGGGGGCCGGGGCGGGGGCAGCGGCGGTGGAGTCGGGGGGCAGCGAGGGGGATGAGCGCGGGGGGGAGGCGGGAGGCAATGAGGGTCTGATCGTCACCGAGTGGGCGGGGGGCGTCGTGTCCGTGCGTCCCCCGGAGAGGGCGGGGACCGGCACCCCGGCACTGAGATGTGTCGGGGAAGATTCGGGGGTGCCCTCCGTGATCGGGGTGGAGTGGAGCAGAGCAGTGTCTGGGCAGACCCCGAGGCGTAGGGGAATCCAGAGCGCTCCCCTGCCCGACCCTGTGCTGCCCGCACGGCTGTGCCTTCCCCACCCATCCTCGCATGAACCCGAACCTGCCTCCTCCCAAAGCAGTCCCAGCTGGCAGCAGGGGTACGGTGTAGGCTGTCTCATCTCTGGCTCTTGTCACCTCTGCTCCCCAAACACTCCCACAGCTCAGCTGGTACCCAGCATCACCCCCAACACACAGAGGGAAACTGAGGCACCACCCGGAGCCTTGCCAGGCAAGGAGAGGAAGGAGAACTGTGGGGCCATACCCCCGTGGCACGTGGCTCATGCTGTCCCTGTCCTCCACAGATGTCTCCATCACCACAAAGACTGCTTCAGCTGGCTGCTGAACAGTTCCCCTGGGCTGGGGAACTGCAGCTGGGCCAGTGCTGCCAGGCTTTCAGGGGCTGGACAGGACAAGGGAGGGCAGCAGAGAACCCAGGGCAAGGCAGGTCAGGTTTGGCCTTGCTCCTTGTTTGGTGCCACCACAAAGAGCTCACCCACCTGTCTGAAGGGTCTGAAGGGTGGTCAGGATGCACCAGGGACCATCACCCTGCTCCGCAGACAGAGCTTTGGGGACACAGGGCTCTCTGCCACAGCCCAGGGCCCTCTCAAGCCCCAAGTGCCTTGTCCGGCTCCTGTCCACGCAGCTGAGGAACGTTTCACCCCGTGTACTGGCCCCAGCTGAGGTCATGTTTTCAGCAGGGCTGAGCCGGGCTCTTTCAGAGAGGGGCCCTGGCCGCAAGGCCCACGGGACCCTGCACCACCCCTCCGGCCCAGCAGCAGCCTCCCTCCCGGCTCTGAGTGGTGCCAGCACAGCACGAGCAGCTTGGTTTGGTGTGGGATGGGGTTGGACACAGCTTTAGGCCAGTGGGACATGGAGCAGCCTGAGTCCCATGACAGGGGGAGCGGGTGCAATGCCATGTGCCAACATGGACAGAGAACAGTGTCACTGGCACTGCTACATCTCCATCCCTCCCTCCATCCCTCCAGCCAGCAGGCTGGCTCTCACCAAGGCAGATCTTCCCTCCCTTCTCCACTTACAGCCCTTTGCAGCCCTGGGGAGGGGTCGGGAATGGGGAGGGCCCAGGGTTTATCCCACGTGGCATTGGTGCCACTCGCAGGTATAGGAGCCCTGCAGCACCTGGCACCTCCGGACAGTGTGTGGTGGGGACAGGAGCACTGACCGTGGGACAGTGGAGGGTCCCGGGGGAAAGGACAGAGCCAGCAGGCCCTGGCCCTGCTCCCAGCCCTGTCCTGGCTGGCGTGACCCAGGCTCACTCGGCCGCCTCGGAGCGGTTGCCCATGTAAGGGCAGAGGGCTGGGGAGCCAAACTTCCAAGCGGGATGTCCGTGAGCGAGTGGGTGGTGATGCACTCACTCACATGCTCCAGGATGCGAGAGGAGCTCGCAGAGGCCAGGAAGGGATTTTCCTTGGCTGCGAGTGGGGTTGCACAACCGCCGTCTCTGGCAGGGAAGGGGTCAGACCTCGCTTGGATCAGCAGGCGCTGCTGCATCTATAAGAGAGCAGCCAGGCTCCTGATGTAAAAGCAGGAGGAGTCTGGTGGCCAGCAGGGAAGTGGGTTCTTGAGGCAAAGGGTGCTCAGAGTCCTGATGAGGCTGCCCTGCTCCCAGGAAAACCATGATGGGGGGCTCTGCTTGCCACTGTCCTGGCTGTGGCTAAAGCAATTTGCCTGTGTGATACCACGGGCGGGGGCCAAGGCTGGTTCTCAAGCAAAGCTGGCAGCAAAATTCCACTGGCCAGTCCCACGCAGAGGGTAATGCTGCTTCCCTGAACCCCACGGACACCCCAGGGCATGACTGAGCTCCAGCAGCACCCACGGAGTGAGTGGGGCGAGGAGCTGGCCTTGGATCTGCAGGAAAGCAGCCCTGCGGCACCCAAAGGAAGACAGCAGAACCCCTGGGCCAGGGCTGGGGGTGGTGGCAGGCACTGGAGCCAGGACAAAGGAGCCCTTTGGAGCACAGTGAATGGTGGCTTCACATCTGACCTTTCCTCTGGGCACTGGTACCACGCCGGATCAGGACTGCAGCAGGATTTTGGGACAAGGTTCAGACCCAACCATTCTCCCCCCAAACCCCAGCTGCTGCATGCTGCTGCTGGGCTCCTTTAAGGAGGGAATCTCGCCTCTCTCATCAGTTCAGGCTAATTAAACTCTGCTAAACCAATTAGAGCTGCAATTTGCAACAAGACATTCTATTGAGAAGAAGAGCCCAGGGTCAGGGCAGAGGTTTCATACCGCCGGCGTGGATCTGTGGGCAGGTGTTGGCCCTGGATGTTGCCATTTCCCTGTCGGATCAAGGTGATCCTGGCCCCATTCCTCTCCTCACCGCAGTAGGATGCCCCAGTTTCTCTCATGCAAGCAGAGATGCTGCCAACCACCGCAGTGGGGAGAGGGGCTGCAGGTGGGGGCTCCACAGCCCCAGCTCAGGTTTATCCATGAGCCCATAGGACCCCAGAAACCCTCGGGAACATGCTCAGCACAGCAGGGCCAGCACTAGAGCTCAGTGTGCACCCAGTGAAGGGGGACAGGATAGAGCCTCGGTCACATCCTTTGGAGCACGTGGCTAGTGGCCAGAGCAAGGCGTGAGCCGAGGGCACGGCCCCGCGGCTGCTGCCGGCAGCCTTAACCCTGGGGCGGGATTTTCTCCTGTATCCCCACGGCTCCAGCCCAGTGAATTGACTCAGTGCTTGTTTGGGGAGAGAGTGTCAGAACGGCACCTTGATGGGTGCACTCCACCCCCAGCGCTGACACGGAGCTTCGCCCCGCGCCCCGGGGCGGCAGCGTCACCGCTCCGTGCCTCAGTTTCTCCATCTGCTGAGGCGAGATAATGCTCCTCTGCTTGATCCTGCGCTATCTCCCAGGAAGGTTGCAGGGATTAGTTTGCTAATGTTTGCAAGGAGCTTTGAAGATGAAAAGCCGTGAACAAATGCCAAGAAGTGCTGAGCTGGATTCTCTTCGCCAAGTAATCTTTTCATGTTCCTGGGACACTTCCACTTCTGTGGATGAAGGAAGGCAGGGCGGGAGCGCCAGCATTCAGAGAGGGCCGGGAGGCTGATATACATTCCCAAGACCCGCCCCTCCAAATCTGATCACCCATTCTGTTTGATTCCTGATCAAATTCTGATCCCTCCTGCTGATGCCCAGACTCAGACCCCCTCCCTGCTGCTGGCACCGGCATCCCCAGCACCCTACAGGCCCCAGCACCACAGGAAGCATCACCCTGAGGGGATTCACTCCCTCTCCCCTTCTCAGAAATGTCCTCCTCTTCTCCAGTGCTTTGGGTGTCCCCAACAAGAGCCACACTTGTGCAACCTCTTATTTTTGAATCTTTAGTCTCACTGCCACCAGCTCTGCCCGGAACTGATGGGAGATGCACTGGGCTCTGTCCATGCTGGGGAAATGCCAGTGCTTGGAGCCAGGAGATGCAAGCAACATGGAGTGAGGACTGGGAAGCCTGAGATGTGGGAAAGCAGTGGCCAGAGCCAGCAATGTCATCCCATCCCATCCCGCAGCCTGGCCTAGAGAAGCCACTTCTGACAACACGTGTCCCTCTCAGCCAGGAGCAGCTCATGGCTCCAGTTTCACCTCTCCTGTCTACACACGCCAATTTCCAGCCGCCTTAGCGAGCTCCTTATGGAACAATCCCGTTGCCCACATGGCTGAGCGTGGTGGGGTTGGCCTGGCCGGGCTCAGCCACGCGTGACACAGGCTCTGTGTGTGTCTGTGTGTGTGTGTGAGTGTAAACAAGCCGTGAGTCAGCGCCGGCGGCCGTGCGGGCTCCCAGCGCGAAAGCTGCCTCTGCCGCGGTGAAGGGCAGGAGCAAAGCGAGCCTCGAGGGAAGAGCTGGCAGCGCCGTGGAACGTCGGGCAACCGTGTGGAGCTGAACTGGGTCCAGCAGAGCTGGGAGTCGGGAAAACCTCCCGGGTCATTAAAGTCTCCTGGCTCCTTGCTGAGACTGGGGAGAGGCACTGCTGAAGGAAGTAGAGCTGCACAGGGAAGGGCAGCGGCTGCTCCACTGATCTTTGCTCCCAGAGCAAGGTGCTGGTTATTGGGGTGGGACAGATGAGCTGGTGACTGCCCTGCTCCCAGCCACGGGGAGGACATGGACCCCATTGGCACTACAATCCCAGCATCCTGGTCTGGTCAGCCTGGTGGCCCTGGAGGATCCCCATCCCGTGGGCCACTAAAGAGCAGAGGCACCACAGGTCACATCCTCCCTGGAGCCCACATCTGCCACACAGCCCCTGTCAGCCAGAGAGCCTCATTGCTTGGCCTAGGCTGGCAGTTGTTAGAAAAGCATGTTTTTCACATTAAAATTTCCCTTGAAGAACAATGGTTTAAACCAAGCATAAAAAAGGAAAGAATCCAAAAAGAAAAAAAAGAGAAAGGAAAATTTTTGGTGGAGCCCAAAAGCAGCCCCCTGGGACCATGAACTTCCCCTGAGCCCCTCTGCCTTGGCTACTCCCAGGGGAAGATGGGCCGCTGAGACAGCACAGCTGGGCCAGGGAAGGACCACCAAGATGCCACAAGCCCTTCAGATCCAGGGATCAGAGCCATATAGGGCTGGGACCACCAGCGTCCCTCAGCCCTCATAGCCTGGTGGTGGTGAGGAAGGGGCTCAGCCTGCACCGCTGCTCCTGGGTCACTGTGAGCTGCCGGATCACTGCCAGATGGGATCCGGACCCACAGCCTGGAGGTGTGAGGCTCCAGGAGATGAGGTGGGGGATGTAAATCTCCCGATCTGTCTGAGCAGATTCAAAGGAGACCGATTCAAATCCGCCGTGACACGACTGGCTCGAGGCGAGTAGACAATCCCTGCAGTGTCTGTAAGGAATCTCGCCGCTTTCCTTTGAGTGGCCTCCAATTTATTAATTAAAATAGGCAATTATATATGATGTGGGGTGGAGGGGAGCAGGGAGACCAGCTGCACCAGTTATTCTCACTTGGCAGGAATTGCTCTGGAAGCTGCTCTGGCTCCAGGAGGTGCTTGTACTTCCCAGGGCTCAAGGCAGAGCCTGGGATGAGACCATGCTTGGAGCTGCCCCTGTGTCTCCAACACCTGGACAGTGTGGGGGCTTCAGCTCCAGTCACCATTTTCTTTAGGAACACAGTGTGCAGAGGCCAGGAGGAATCCCTTAACCCCCCTCTCTGGGGCATGTGTCCCCTCCACTGCTCAGCCCAGGTGGGATGGTGACTCTGAGCTGCTGGAGGAGCCTCCCACCCTGTCCCATCCCCTCAGACAGTGGGAGCCTTGGGATATTTCCCACTGCCCTTCCCAAGCGGGGTGGCCGATTTGGGAGCGGGCTCTGTCTAACGATGACTCGTTACTACCTGGGGAGGTGTCACCTCCTCGTCAGCCCTCTTGGGTGAGGGTGCAGTTTGCCTTTCTGCAGCACCGTGGGAAAATCCTTCCCTAGGTGACTCAAATTTGCTCTCGACCAGACGCAGCTTCCTCGGAGGCAGCAGAAGGGAGGGGGACAGCCAATTACAGAACCCCCAAACTTGGGGTGCCAGAGGAGCATCAGAGACGGGATGCTCATGCCCTCTGTGGGGAGGAATCGTGGCTGAGGCCAAAGTCAGGGTGTGGGGCTGTCAGAGAGCCTCAGCCCCCGTGGAAGGGCGATCCCCTCTCTACGGTCAGAACCAGCAATGAGGGATGGGCAGGGGACTTGGGCTGTAGGTCATGGGCAGAGTCCTGACATAGAGGCAAACGCCAACAAATGAGTGAGGGTCTTTTGAGAGACTCTTCCCACTGCTGTACGCCCGCAGCACTGGGGCTGCGGCCGCTCTGCTGCCCTTATCTCCATGTGCATCCACATCCGCTGCCATTTGCATCCCAACGAGTGTTGCCACGTTCAGCTTCCACAGCTCCTGCGTCAGGGAATTCCAGAAGGACAAAGTCAGTGGAGCCGGATCCTTCCCCCCCCCATCCCACAGGCACCCGGCACCCATTTGATCAAGTGGCAACTTGTCCTCCGACCGTGAAACAAGGCACTGGAGAACCGCGGGGAAGGAGCTTCCCTTAGGGTGTGAAATGCCCCATCCGGAGCCGCGGGCTCTGCGCTGAGGCTCCGGGCTCTGTCTGGCTCCCAGCTGGGCCACGACGCATTGTCTGGACCCACCTCCTGAATAAAAGGGTTACGGGAGCAGCAGTTTCCTCATCACCTGTAAATAAATGCCAACGTGCCTTATCAGCGGCCGGGATCATCGATCAGCCACTGAACTCTGCCAGTCTGCAATTCTCACACGGCCACCGAGCCCTCCCAGCTGCTGACCGGTGACCCAGCCCTCAAGTGCTGTGTCCCACCCGCATCCAGCTTACGACGTCCCTGTCCCTGTCCCTGTCCCCCCGCAGGACGGGGAGCGGCGCTCTGCCGAGCTTTCCACGGATCATGAGCTGCTCCACAAATCCCTCCCCGGCTCCATCACCCAGCAAAGCTGGAGCAGCAAATCCTGGGCTGAAGATGCCACCTGCTGGGAGCAGGGCTGGTGTCGCGGGCTCGAAGCCCAAGACCCCACAGACTCATTATGCAGAACTCTTAAAATCTCACAGTTCTGCCATTCCAATCCTGCCCTGCAGCCTCACCATCCTGCTCCCCCAAAACCTCACAACCTCACTGCTTGGATACCCCAAAATCTCCCGAGTCACACCACCCCAAAATCCTTGCTCGGTAGTGTCACACAACAGCCCCTGAGGCTTGGAACCCCAGTGAGGGCCGGGCAGGCCCTCTGCTCTCTCAAAAACTTCAGCCTGGGCAAAACGCTCGCCCTGAACTGAGCCGCAGGATTCTCAGGTCCCAAACATCAAATTTCCACTTATTAACCCTAAAAACCTCTCCAGAACCCTCTAGCATCCAAGGGGCAAGGTTTGGGAAAAACACCCAACCTGAGAGTGCTCTGCTAAAACTGGAACATTCCAGTTCCTTTGGGGCTATTGCAACTTGAAGCAGCTCTCGGAATTCTTACTGGGTGTAATACTCCTTTTTACTCCTTTCGGGGGACTCAACCTCTCCCCAGATCATGTTTCCCCTCTTCTTTTAAAAATTAAATAAATAAGTAAGTCAGCTTTTGACCTGATATTTTAAAGCTCGGGGGTCTGGTGGGGCTGAGAGAGGAATCAGGAGCCCGAGGGGGGAGGGCAGAAGGAAGGATGAGGGGGGTTCTCGGAATGAGGAGGGGTTCCGGGAATAGGGGATACAGTCCCGCCGCTTCTCTGGCCACGCCCCATCGCCTTATATGGTCAAGTCACAGCCCAATCTCCTTCTATGACAAAACCCCGCCCCCTCCGCGTTTGCACCGTGCGATGTTCCTTGTCCCCCCTCGGCCGCCGTCGGCGCCGCGGCGCGCGCGGGGGGCGGGGCCGGCGGGTAGGGAAGATGGCGGAGGCGTCGCCACAGCCGGGCCGGTTCTTCTGCCACTGCTGCTCGGCCGAGATCGCCCCGCGCCTGCCCGTGAGCGGGGGATCAGGGAGGGGCGGCGGGGAGGCCCGGGAGCGCGGGCAGGGCCGAGCGGGGGCCCCGAGGGGGCGGGCACGTGGAAGCGAGGCCTGAGGGGCCCAGGGGGCCTGAGCGGCGGGGAGGCGGGGGGGTGCCCTGTGGGGCTCCGCCCGTGGCACCGGGGCTTGGGGGCGTTGAGAGGGGCTGGGGATGGTGTCCGTAGCGAGGGAACGGGGCTGCGGCGATGAGGGGAGAGGGTGTGCGGAGGGAACGGGCCCGCCTGGCCGAGGGGCAGCAGCTGGGCGAGCCGCGGCGGGGGCGGCGCGGCGGGAGGGGCCCTCGGCACTCTTCGGCCCGGAGGGGGTGGCCCGCGGCGGTTCGAGCTCTCCAGCAGCCCCGTGGGGAACGACTGGGGCCCGCCACGGAGCTGGTCTGGGGCGGGAGTCCGTCCGGCAGCAGCCCCAGGGTCCGGCTCTGACACCTCCATCCCGAGCAGCCTGATCCCATCCGGTGCCATGTGAAGCGCCGCGGGGTGGTGGGGGCTTTCTCGGCCGTCTTTCAGGAGGGTTTAATTAACACGACAAAAGCCCCGCGGTGGTGGCTGCTGGGGCGCAGGGAGGTGCACGGTAATACGTAGGTAGAAGTGCTGTGTAGGCACCTGGGCAGATGCTTTAGTCACACACCAAAACCCGGCGTGTATGGAGCTTGTCCTTGGTGTGGGTGGAAAAGGAGTGTAGGCTGTTGGGGAGGATCTGGTGGATCACTTCCTCCTCTGCTTGGCTTCCTGAGATGTTAAATATGATCTGGAGAGTCCTGCTGGTCTCTTTATCCTGACGCTTTTCACAGCACCTTGTCCCAAAAGTCACTGCTGGTTGCTGGCACTCAACTTGAAAAAGCTCTGAGGACAAGGAGAGCTGTCCCTGCCGGGGGTGGTTGGTTTGTGACGTGTGATTTGTCCTTTTGCCCTCTCGTTTGGGCCAGGGTGGGCCATGCTGGGGCTCCCAGCTCGTGCGTAAGAGTGAGGACAAACTCCTGACTGTGCTCCTGCTGAGCACACATGGGCTATGGGCAGGAGCCAGGAGGTAGCCCAGAAAGTCTGTTCTTTATTTCTGTTCAAACATCCCGTGCTGGGCCGTGCCCTCATCTGGTTGTGTGCACTTGGCCGGGCACAACTGGCTGTGCGAGCTGGGCACTCTTGGCCAGACTGGGCCAGGCAGGGAGCGGGTCCTGTGTTTGGGGGCTCAGATCTGTGAGTTCATGAATTTGTTTTGGGGATCCAGGTTCACTCAGGTTTCACTCAGCGTCTGCAGGCGCAGTAACCAGAACTGCCAAAGGAGGGACTCAAACAGCCCGAGAAACAACAAACTTTGACATTTGTGCTGTTCCAGCTGCAGAGGAATGTGCTGATCCCTGTGCTGGGAGCTGGCTGTGAGCACATGGACACACACACACACACACACACACACACACATGACACACAGCAGCTCCCTGGAGCAGCGTGCTCAGGCCACAGTCATTCACCCCCATGCCACGTGTGTCCCCAGCAGTTGGTGCTGGCGGGAAGCAACACAAAGGGGGTTTCACAGGCAGGGGGTTTCACAGGCTGTGGTTCCCTGTGCTTAGACTTGGTGCCAGTGGTGCAGAGACGGTTGTTCTGCAGCAGCAGACAGGGAGTCCTGTGTGGGAGAGGGAGCGGCCACCTCTCCCAGTCTGCTCCTGAGCCTCAGAGCTCTCGTATCTCCCTGGGCACATGCAGTGGCTCCAAGCTGTGCTCCTTCCCTGGGGCCTTATTGGGGTCGGCTGCAGGGGCCAGAGGAGCGACCCCAAGGGCTTTATCAACAGCCTCAACTCCTTAGGGGAATCCCTCAGTCTGGCTAGGGGCTGTGCCAATTCCAACACAGCAGCAAAAGGAAGTGGCATTATTTTTAGAAGCTCTTAAATGCCTTCTGTGCTGAGCCTGGCTCTGCCAGCACAGGGATTTGGGGTGGTGTGTGCCCGCTGTGGGGCAGGGGATAGGGTTGACTCAGTGCTGCTTCTCAAGCACTTGAAAGTGAAACAGTTCCCTTTCAGGGTCTCCAGCGTTCTGAGCTGCTCTGCCCAGGACAGGGTAGGTGTAGAGGATGAATTCCTTACTAACCCCAGGAATTGTGAGGAAGTGGCTGTCACGGGCACTGCACATTCAGCCTGTTTGTCCTGGCATGCTCAGTGCCCAGGGGACTGGGGTGGCAACAGGTCACTCCTGTAGTGAGCTCTGGGTGTGGGAGTGTGAGGTCCTGGCTGCAGAATGACCCGGCATGTCCCTATGTGCTGTAAGCCCCAGGTTGTGTTGGTGACAGGGACTCTTCAGCCTCCCTGAGCACCACGACCTCGCCGAGTCCCTGCTGCCTTTCCCACATTGTTTCCTGCTCCCCAAAACACGCAGCTGGGCCAATGTTTGAGGACTGTTGTGCAGGGAGCATTGGGGGTTTCGCTTTCACTTCACTGGAACTGCATCAGCTGGTAGTTAATGTTGTGTCTGTACTGGGGATTAATCAGCATCACCCTCATCATTCTTAAGCTGAGCTCCCACAGGCTCAGGCTGAGCTCTGGCCTCACTGGCTCAGGAAGGCAAATGCCAGGGTTTGGGGTCTCTCTGGTTCGTGGCATGTGCTGGGATGGCGGACTGCAGGACCCTTCCACCCTGTCACACCCTGCAGCTCTGAGGTACCACTTCCTTCTCTCACCTGGTGTGTCTTCTCCTGCAGGACTACATCTGCCCACGGTGTGAGTCTGGTTTTATTGAAGAGCTTCCTGAGGAGCCGAGGTAATGTGCAGCCCCAGGAGTTGGTGCTCCAGTGAGCCCAGTTTGCTTTGCTCTCTTCCTAGTTCAAAGGCAATGTTTGATATAAAATGCACTGTTTCTATTGCTTCTGCCCCAGCTTTGGTTCATCTTTCCTCACTTTTGGAATACAGCACTTTGTTGGTGAAGTTAGCATCCACAGGCAAATCTGTTATGGCAATGCTGAGTGTCTGACGTCTCTGCTGAGGGGCGGGGCAGGAATGGTTTGATTTCAAACAAACACAGAGAAATGGTATGGAGACTTTCTCTGTGCTGTGTGGTAGCTCTGACCTGGTCTGAGTCATCAGGGCAGAGATAACCCCAGAGAGAGGGCTCTGGGAATGAGCGCAGGGACACCTCTGTGTAAGCAGTGACTGTGTTGGGGATGAACAACAAAATGTTGTGGCTGAGACTTTGGACTCTGCCCTGGAGCAGTGAGGTCTGCATTTCTGTGCTGCTCTGCTTCTGCTGGTGGCAAAAGCAGCAGGAATGTCTTAAAATGTTTCAGTCGTGTTTGTGGGGCCCCAGCAGTGATCAGCTCCAGGACAGGCCAGGAGCAATGGGTATTGCTGCCTGCTGATTGTGGTGGTCTGCATGGCCTGGGGCTTCTGCACTGAGCAGGTGATGTTTGGTTTGACCACGCCAACCCTGGAGCCTGAAAATCCATCCTGGCTGATCCTGACTGTTGTGGCAATTCTCTGTGATCCTGGGAGAGTTGCATAGTTGCTGAATCTCAGCAGTTTCAGTACTGTGAATACAAAGCTTGGTTCTGAGCAGGAAATATTTCTGCAGTTCTGAAAGCAGAAGTCTGACAACATTTAGAGTTTTCCCAATATCCTGAGCCGTTGGGTTACGTGCCTCTGCAGTAAAGAAGTTTCTTTGATTCAAGATTAGTCTTATGTGTCTTGGGGTCACAGCGATCAGCGTTTGTGCCTTAAGTCTTCCTGGTGCTCTGGAGGATTAGCTAGTGTGTTTGAGATGGATTGTGGGGAAATCCTCCCTTGACATCATGGTTCAGGCACTTCCCTCCAGCCTCATAAAATCTGATAGGGTAGGGAGAAATGGGTGAAGATGTAGGAAAATGAAACGTTTGGGGCGGGAAAGCTGATGCAGGCAATCAGAAAATCAGCAGCTGACAGGGGACCAGGTTCTGTTGACCTGCCTCTGCTCTGGAATGGGAGGGGGGCAGAAAAGCTTTGGAAGCTGCTATGAGAAGATTACCACTGCTCTTCATTCCCCATAGGAATGCTGAAAACGAGACCAGCTCCTCTACGTCAGCCACTGATCAGAGCAGGCATCCTTTTGAGGTGAGAAAGTCCTTTCTCTCTTCCAACACCTCCTGCTTTGCTGTTGGATTGAGGATTTTTCCAATAGTGCATTGTTTAAACATTCCCTAGATCACGACAGAATTCGAAAAGGAGGAATTAATATCCTCCACATGCTGCTTCTGAAATCTCCACATACCATATTTTTGCTGCTTGTGTTATGTAGGACCATCACTCGTAGCTGATTCCCGTCGTGAGGGGGCTCAGCAGGATTTGGAGAGCAGGATTTGGGTGTGTTGCTATGCAGTAGCCTCAGCTCGGAAGCAGCAGTGACACACCAAAGAGAAACCAGGGAACTGTGATTATTTCTGCCTTCGTGTGCAGTTCCAGTGTCTGTTCCTCTGCTCCTCCAGAGCTGCTACTGAGGGCGCTGGTCCCAGTGTCGCCCCATGCCTGGGGTTTGCTGCGGGCAACTACTGGGACACAGTGAGAGCCAAGGGCTGTTCCTCCTCACAGCCTTTTCTCTGCATTCCCTCCCTCCCAGAACGTGGATCAGCACTTGTTCACCTTGCCCCAGGGCTATGGCCAGTTTGCTTTCGGGTTCTTTGACGACAGCTTTGAGTTTCCCTTCGGGTCCAACGTGCAGCCGGAAGACAACCGGGACTCGGAGAACCGGCGGGAGCGCGAGCACCAGTCCCGGCACCGCTACGGCGCCCGGCAGCCCCGCGCCCGCCTGGCCACGCGCCGAGCCTCGGGCAGGCACGAGGGCGTCCCCACGCTGGAAGGGTGAGAACCACTCTGGGACCTGGGGAGGGACCCCTGTTGGTCCTCGCCTTTTCTCCTGGGTTACCTGAGCAGCGTCATCCCAAAGCTCTCCAGCACTGCCGCGGGTGCCATCTGTGTCCCACCTGAGCCTTTTGGCAGCTCAGAGGTGGCATGGACTGTGGCTGGGAGTTTGTCCTGTAGTGGGAAAAGATTCCCTGGTCATTGCCAGATGTTGCAAATGTACTTGCTGTGAGGGGAAACAGAAGACAACACCAGACTGTGTTTGTGTGAGTGCATCCTGGGAGCCACTCCCCATCATGTCAGGAATTGTCCCCTTATGAATCAAATACTGAACCTTTATCAGTGTCTCATCACTCCCTAAGCTGCCATTGCAATTGCTGTAGGGTATTTTTAATTGCTCCCAACAATGTGACAGTATTCAGTTTATTCAGCCTCTCCCAGCACACTGGTGTGCTGGGCTGGGAGACAGCGAACTTTAATTCTTACACAATCCTGGTTTTCTTGTCTTTCAGAATTATCCAGCAGCTGGTCAATGGAATTATTGCACCGACCACAATTCCAAACCTAGGCCTGGGCCCTTGGTGAGTTGGAGAATGTGCTGCTCTCTCTGACAGTGTATCATTGGTGCTGCAGGATGAACTCACTTGCTGTCCTTGCTCTTCAGGGGAGTCCTGCACTCAAATCCGATGGACTACGCCTGGGGTGCCAATGGCCTGGATGCGATTATCACACAGGTAAAACTGGCATTCGCCACAGTCTCCATCCTCCTGTGCAGTGCTGCAGGAGGGGCAGCACCTGTGGTGGTGCAGGGAATGAGGGGCTGCAGGGACTGGAATGGGAAAAGGTCCACAGTGCAGGGTCCAAGTGCCCTAGCTCAGGAAACGAGTGGATTCTGTGTGCTGCTGAGCTCACCTCTCTCTCCTGCCTGCCTGGCCGGTTGTTTTTCCAGTTACTGAATCAGTTTGAAAACACTGGACCGCCGCCAGCGGACAAAGAGAAGATCCAGGCCCTCCCCACCATACAGATCACACAGGAGCACGTAGGTACGTGTCTGCTCCATGGAGTTGTACACAGAGAGCTCCCTGGAAGCTCTGTGTAATGTTTTTTGGGACTTTAATTTTGTCTGCTTGTACCTTTGAGGCATAGAACATTTCAAACAGGGCAGAGGGCTGAAGGGGCTCTGTTATACTCACACAGAAAAAGAGCAGTGTAGGCTGGATGGATTTGCCCTGGGGAGGTTGTGAGAAGTTCAGTGTGGATAGAGATGGAAAAGCAGAAGGGAAGGGGAGGATGAGGCATACCCAGGGCAGGGAGAGGTGGGGTGATGGTGTGGGGACTTCAGAGCACCAGGCTTTCCTCCTGGCGGGGATGGAGCAGTGGTGGGGGAGAGGGATGATGAGTCCTGAGTCAGAGGCTTTGCACGTTGTTCTCCTTGGCTCAGCTGGGCTTGGCTTTCCCTGTGTGATGCAGATTCCGGGTTGGAGTGCCCTGTATGTAAGGAAGACTACACAGTTGGGGAGAGCGTGCGGCAGTTACCGTGCAATCACCTGTTCCATGACGGCTGCATCGTCCCGTGGCTGGAGCAGGTGAGTGCAGGGCAGTGCCTGGGGTGTGCGGCACTGGGGGCTTTGTCTGGTCCTGCTCTCCTCTGTAAATATTTTCCTACCTCCATGATGAGGCCTGAGCATGAGCAGCCTGTGGTCAGAGGATGGAGTGTCCTCCCAGCCCATTCCTCCAGTGCTGCTCCCCTATTGTGTTTCTAATCCCATTTCCCGTATTTCTTGTTTTGTTTTTTGTCTGTCTGCTCCCCAAAGCATGACACGTGTCCTGTCTGCCGGAAAAGTTTAAGTGGACAAAACACTGCCACAAACCCCCCAGGACTCACAGGGATGAACTTCTCGTCATCCTCCTCCTCCTCCTCTTCCTCCAGCTCACCAAGTAATGAAAACTCATCGAACAACTCATGAATCTTAATGCACCCTCTGTCCCCGGGGCCCTTCCACTGTTCCCCCTCCCTCCCTGGCCACCGCAAGCAGCCAAAGGGGCTTCCAGAGCAGAGCGAGGGGAGGGGACAAGACAGGAGCAATGCCCCCAGAATTTCCTTTTGATTTCTGAAGACACGGAGACTCTGGGTCCTTCAGAGATGAGAAGCCTCAAGTTCTGTGATGAAAAAGGGGGGAAAGAGCTCTGTCTGTCAATAAAAACATCCTCTTTGCGTGGACTTTACCCATTGCAGTGCGAGGCTGCTGCGCTCCCCGGCTGGGAACCCCGAGGTGCTGAGCGAGTGGTTGAATCCCGAATGGAAAGTTTGTTTGTATGGGTTTGAATTTGAGATCCCTTTCTTTTATTTCTTTTGCTCCTCCTCCCCTTGGATACTATCTTTTCTGCTTTGGAGATTGAAGGCTAAAATGGAAGCATAAGGATGCTGCCTCCCCCCAGGATCGCCATCTGGGGAGGATCAATAGCTGTCACTGAAACAGGAACTCTCAAGTAGACCCTGGGATCCTTCCCTGTCCCATCTCGAGTCCCTTTTATTTCTCTTTATAACCTCGCCCGCTGATACTCAACACTGAAAGGGGTTTTTATAATCTTAAATTATTACTGTTGTCAATAAATGGACATTTCAGCTCTGCGAGCCGTTATGCATGATTTGAGGAAAGCTACAGGGTAAGCTCTGAGGCCACCAAGCTGTCCTGCCTTCCCCGGGCAGGCTGGGCCTCTCTGAGCCCTCCTGCGTGCTGGGAGTTCCGGTGGGAGTCACTGCCAGCCTGTGGATCACTGCACAGGTAGCCAAGGATTGCAGCTGGAAGCATCCTCGCCTGGTGTTTTCTATTTTTTACACCTTCTTCCCCTTACAGTCCTGCCCCCTTCGCAGCCGGGGCAGGCTGTTCTGCTGGGCTGACACAGGACTGGGTGTGCAGCAGAACGAGGACCAGCAAATCTCATTGTGACCGAGTAATTACCAGGAAAACAACATTTTGGAGAAAAAAATGTATTGCAAAGCTACTTAAAATAGAGCTGATTAAAACAAGGAGAGAGAGACAAATACCCAGGTATGTTTGTGACTCAGTTTCTGTGACAGAGCTGGAGCTCAGAGAATGACAAGAATGTCACCTGATCGAGCAGGGCAGTGACTCCCTGCCATGTCCCTGCTTCCTGGGCCCTGAGGCATGAGAGGAGGAGCTCTCACCATCCGTCCCCTTCCCCTCACAGGGAGTTGGGGTGGTCAGGAGGTCTCCTAAAGGGTCACACAACCCCCTGCCCCCAAAGGGGATCCACGATGGTGCCACATGTTGAGACTGCTCTGTGGCAGAGGCCAGAACAGATAAGGGAGAGCCTGCCAGGAAAGTGGGTGGGGGGTTTGGAAATTTGGGGGCTTCCCTGCCTCTCCCTTGGCTTTTGGGACCCTGAGAGTGGGCTGGGGCTGCTCGGGAAGGTGCTGGCTCCAGCAGAGCTTGGATGTCTCTTCTAAAGCAGCATAACCTCACGACCTGGCCCTTCCACGAGCTTCCTGAGAAGAGGTTAACCTCCTATAGTAGGGGGAAGGTTGATTTGGCCTTTCTTGAGCCATTTAAGAACACAAGAAGTTGGTTTGTTGGAGAAAGTGTCACCAGCTGTGCCAGGGCCAGGGGCTGGCAGGGAGTGACTTGCCCGGACTGTTTTTCTTCCTTGGCTTGGCTGGGCAGCGAGGCGGCGCCTTTCATCTCGCAGGAGGGTTTATCTCAGGACTGGTGTGTCGGGGTTAATGGCTCATCCTCTGCCAGGGGTTGAGCCAGAAGCCTGGGCTGGTGAGGTGGGCGGCAGCAAGAAAGTCCCGGCTGAACCTGCACGTGTCCATCGGCTGACCCAACACCGAGGGAAGGCTTTGCTGTTTAGTCACCAAAGCAAGAGACCTGGAAAACCCTTCCCTCTCCCACTGGGTTTCAGCTGTGATGATGGGGGGTTCCTGGCTCCCCCATGTGCATGGGGATGATTTTTTGTATGTGAGCAGTGTTCAGATGGGTTTCAAGTGGGCTGAATAAAGTTCTGGGTGGGTGCATGGCAGCTGCTGCCCATCTGGCAGGGGCTCATCAGAGTCACCACATGGTTAATACAGCGGCTGTTCCCTCTTAGACTCGTTTGGAGCTGGTTGGGTCAGAAATGGAACGAGTTTGGTGGTTTTTGCTGGGGCCATTGCTCTGCCTGACGTGACAGTGACCAGGATGCTGGGTCTGGCCACAGCAGGCATGAGGTGGCACAGGGATGTATCCTGGCCAGGAGGCTGAGGTGCAGGTGCTATTCCTGGCCATGCTGCCCTCCAGGTGAGGAGCTGGTCCTCATCACTGTCCACTGTCCCAGCCCTGTTTTTGTTGGGGATGAAGGTGCAGAGCTGGGCTGCAGAACTGCCTGGCACTGGCTGTGGCCAGGGGCAGCCCCGGAGCTGTGTCTGCTTCCTCTTTTCTGCCACTGAACCACCACTGCTCTTTTCCTGCAGGGTGAGTGGGGGTCGATGAAAAGCTGCATGTGGCAAAGGACCAGCTGAGCTCCCTGCCAATGGCAGCAGGGATGACACTGGTGGCTAAAGCCAGAACCACACGGGAGCTAATCCCTCCCATTCCAAGCCAAGTTTACCATCAAAGCTCCAAGACCTGCTCCTGTTCCATTCCATGAACACAGCTTTAATTGCCACAGGTGCTCAGACACAGAAAACCTGCTCGTACATCCCATTAGCAGATCCTGGCCCCTGCTCTGGTTGTGCTCCCTGTCTGCACCACACCAGCTCTGCACAGGGAGAACAATGGGAGAGAGCCACAGCCCTGTGCAGCTGAGTCTGGAGCATCTGCCTTATACATCCATCCTCTGCCGTGCATTAAAAATACAGCAATAAATAGCAAAAAATAGATATGTACATAAATAAAATAACTTTTTTTTTTTCCTACAGGACCGTCCGGAGCTGCCCATGGTGTTCAGCTGATGAGCATGGGGAGGAAGTGTGTGGAGAGGTGCTGCCGGCGTGTCTTGCCCCCTCGCTGTGGCCTGCCCTTGCTATTGAGCGAGAGGAACATGGGGCGGCCGCGGTGCCGCCAGTGCAGTGACGCGTAGGTGTTGTAGCCGTTCTCTTCAATGCGCTCCGTGAACTTGCAGTTGGGGCTGAACTCCTTCTGGCAGGAAAGGGAAGGGGGTGAGGGATGGCTGTGCTCAGCTGGGGTCCCTCGGACCCCAAGAGTGGGGCAGGGCAGTACCCTGGCTCCTCCTGGTCCCCGGGGGACAAAGGGGCTTGTGGGTGCTGTCCCCTGCTAGGGAGCAGGTCAGGGCATGGGAAACCAGAACCCTGTTCCAACTCTGCCCTGAGCCTCTGACTCTGGTGCAGTCCCTCCCAGGAGGCAGCGTCCGACCTACCGACCCGTAGAGCCTCCCCCGCTTGTTCATGGCCAGGTAGAAGCCGGTGTGCACCGCCCGGATGGCCACGACGCCAACACGCACCGACCGGATCTCGACGATGCCTGCGGGACAGGGAAGCATGGCATGAGCCAGGGAGGGACAGGCAACCCCCCCAGGGGGCCCTGCCCCAGTGCTGGGTCTGTGGCCAGTGTCCCTCCAGAGGGAGGGAATTACTGATCCTCACCCAGAGCCAGAGCATCCAGAGGAGCAAGGGCTGCTGCCCAAGCTGGGAGTGGGAGGGGGAACCTCTGATCCAAGGAAAGTTTGATCTTTACTCCTCTCCTCCCCAGGGTCCAGCCACTTCCCAGGAGCCGGGCTGTGCGGGAGCGATGCCAAGCACAACCTCATGTGTGTCCTCCCTTCATTGGCAGCTTTACCCGTGCATCCATCCCCAACGTGCCCACAGTGCCCCGGGGACCTGGCCCGCCTCCCGCAGCGCCTGGCCCCGGCACACGCAGAGAGAGCACTGAGGCTGGCATGGCTCTTGGAGGGGCAAAGTGTGCGTGGGGGTGGCAGCGACAGCCACAGGTGGACAAAGGCACGCGAGCAGAGGTCTGCGGGGTCGGGAATGTGCCAGGACAGTGCCGTCCATGAATGCCCGATTGCCTGGTGGCACAAGGGAGGACAAGCGGCCCTGTGCCCAGCACTGCGGGCTGGTGGATGGGGAAGCACTCCGAGACGTGAGGATGAGCCCGGGGGGCGGCTGCAGCCGGGCTGTGAAGCCACAGCTGGGCTGGCGTGTGTGTGCCCCGACCGCCGAACTCCGGCTCGGCCGCTAATGGGAAAGGCATGTGGTCAGACCAGCGGCTCTGGCACGGGAAACACCCAGAGCATCATCAGGGCCTCTGGATTCCTGCACTGCCTCGCGCCGGCCAGCCCGGAGTGCCGCTGCCTGCCCTGCCGACCGCCAGGCGCACGGCGCAGTGGGGAGGAGGAATGTCCAGCGAGAGCAATGTGGGAAGGGCAGCAGGGAGGGCTGGAGCCACAGCAGGATCTGCCTATGGACACCACTGCAAGGGCTGCCCCGGCTGGACGGGGTGGGAGAACACGCAGAGACTCTGGCTGGTGGCAGCACACACAGCGTGGGGGCTGCAGCCCCTGGGCAATTTCATCAATCTCCCGGCGTTGCTGGCATTCCCCAGGCATCACCTGCCTGCGGGAGGCTGGGAGCAGACAGAGTGGATACAGCACTGGCGCAGCGTGAGGGCTCCCGAGCGTTCGGCTCCTCCGGGATTTTCAGCCCGGCTGCTTCGGTGCTGCCATCGGTCCTGGCAGCTACCGGGACCTGCAAGGCTTGGCCCAGGGAAGCCACTGACACGGCTGTGGAGGGGAAGGGCTGAGCGAATGCCTGTGAATCCGTCCCACTTGATCACTGTCTGAAGCTGCTGCTATTTATAAGGACGTGCGCTTTTCTAAAAATAACCCCCCTCTGTTCCCAGTGCTCTGGCCGGCTCTGCCGCCCTTTGTTTGCAGGTATCTGGCCAGTACCTGGTCAGAGCCAGCTCCCAGTGCTCCCAGTCTCACACTCAGCCCCAGAGGGGTCTCGAGGAGACTGAGGCAGATGCAGGGCTTGACGTGGAGGAGTCCCTGGAAGAGCCCCCGCCGCCCTAGAGCTGCCAGTGGGGCTGGTCCAGCAGCTTCTGCGAGGGCTGTGGAGCAGAGCCCGCGCCCAGCCCAGGCGCACACAGATAAGCAGAGTGAGCCTCATGTACAGCCCGGAGCTGCTCTGCCTGCCAGATCCTATGGCCACACCATCGAGGGAACGTGTTGGGGTGCTTTGAGCTGGCAATGTGCCTGGTCGGGACTCCCGACAGCCTCCGACACCACAGAAGGGTTCCCTGGGCTGGGCTTGGCTCCCATGTCCTGTGGCTGCTGAGAGACATCCTGTGCTGGCCGGGAGATAGGGCAGCCCCTGCTGGACCAGGACGTGGGCTGGGGGTGCTGCAGCTCTCCTAGCCCAAACCCCAACACCCTGTCAGGGCACCTGGGGGATGCTCAGGCATCTCCCTTTCCGAAGGCCCCCAATATCCTCCTCCTTGTCCAGCTACTGTCCTGCTAGCCTGGTGCCCTCATCCCTGTTCTAGGGGCGGGGACCCTGCACCCCTGTGGGCGGCTGATGCCCGGGCACTCTTGCTGAAGTCATCCAGTGACTGCCACGTCCTTGGGGACTCTGTCCCTCTGCCCACTCAGCTGTCTCTGTGTTGAGTCCCAATCTGCTCTGCAGGCAGCAGCTGCTCCATGGTCCCCTCCGATGGGAATGTTCTGCCATCCCACATCTGACAGATGACCCATTCTGAGACCAGCATCACGGCAAAACTTCCTACATTCCCCCCTCTTCCTCAGGCTTTTTTCCCCTCAGTGTGTTAGTGAGGGAGCGATCAGATCCTCCCAGTCCATGGGGAATACAGGGCGGGGGGGCATCGTGAACTGGCAGGACGAGATGGGAGAAAGGACGCCCGAGAGACCCCCTATGACACCCCAGCCTCTGGGAAAGCAACGCCGGGTCCCCGGGCAGTGCCTGCCGGTGTCCACGCCCCTCTCATGGCTCCCACAGGGCAGTGACGGTGGCGAGGGCAGCCGGCGCCGGTTGTGCTTCAGGAGCGGCGTGCCCCGACCGGCGGGGACAGCGGGGACCCGCCGCTCTCGCTCTCCCGGAGGACTGGGCACTTTGGCTGAGATTTCCCCACAGGGAAGAGCTGCAGGCTCTCTCCGGGCATGGAGAGGTGCCGTCGCCGACCCGAGGAGCCTCCGTCCAGCCTCCGCCCCGGTCCAGCCCCGGCAGCGCCCGCCTCTGCCGCAGTCCCGGCAGCCGGCGGGATCGGGCTCTCGCCCTTCGTGGGCGGGGGGCGGCCCCAGATCCCGGCTCTCCCCTGTCCCCGTCCTGGTCCCGTCCCCACTCACTGCCCGGCCGCTCCCTCCAGCGCGTCCCCTCCACGCCGCCGCCGCCGTCGATGCGCAGGAAGAAGCGGGTGGCGGAGAAGAGCCGCCTCCAGCGCACGTCGCCCTCCAGATGCCCGTAGCTGCGGGGGGGCCGCCGGCCGGTCCCGGTGGCATTTCCCGGCCCCGGCCCCGCCAGCACGGCGAGTGCCCCGGCAAGGCAAGCGGCGATGGCGGCGGGGCCCCCGCGCCTCATGGCGGTGGGCGGCGGGCGGGCGGCGGGCGACGGGCGATGGGCCATGGCCACCGCGGCAACCGGCGACCGGCCCCGACGGCGCGAGCGGCCAGGGATGGGCGGCCCGGGGCGGGGCAGTGGCGGTGAATGGGCGGGGCAGGGGCTGGGGCGGTGCCTCTCATTCATAAATCGGTGCCCCGACGGCTGTCCCGGGTCACCGGCAGCCGCCACTCACCTACGACCGCGGGGCGTCCGGTTGGGCACCGCACACTCCGGTATCTGCCGTCAGCCGCGATAGGTGGGCAAGGGAAGAGCGCCGCAAGCACAGAGTGTGGGAGAGGCGGAGAGTGCGGGGCTGCTGTGGCCCAGGACCTGGGAACGATGGTGTCCGTCTGATGCCCGACCTGAGACGCACCGAGCTCGGGCCGGAGAGGCGCGAGTCAGCCGGGCTCCGTCGTATTCCCCAGGCTCCGCCACCTCCCGGACCCTCCGCCGTGTCCCGGGAGCTGCGCCCGTCCCGACCCACCCCGTCGGGGCCGCCACGGCCGCCAGAGGGCGCTGGGGCTCGGCCGCGCTGCACCATGGGACCTGTAGTCCGGCTTGGCGGGACTCGCGTTCCCGGTGTGCCCCGCGCTGGCGCGGCGGGATAGCGCATGCGCGCGGCGCGCGTGGCCCGGGGATGTCGCTGCTGAGGCTGCGGGCGGTGCTGAGGGGCCCGGGCGGGTTCAGGGGGCCCGGTGAGTGGGAACGAGGTCCGGGGGGGGACACGGAAGCACCAGGGGGGCATGGAGGGACCGGCGAGGACACGAGGAGACCAGGATACGGCCTGAGTGTGCGGGCGGAGCTGGGCTGGGACGTCCCACGATCCTGAGCATTCTCTGGGATATACCTGGAAGATGGAAGGGTTCTTTTTGCGTCGTGAGGGCCGCAGGGATAGAGTCGGGGCTGTGGAAATGCTGGGATTGTTACTCTCCTAAGGAATGATACGGGCGCTCTGGGTCCTGTCCCAGCTGTGGGATTGCACCTGCCTGCTCTGGGGGTCTTGGGGTGCTGCCACCCCGTTCACAGCGCTGGGGTTTGTGGTGTCCCTGGGGTCATGTTCCTTCTAAGCCTCTGATTCCATGGGATGAGGAGTGTTCCTGTCCCTCCTGCCCTCCTATGCTGCTGCTGGAGCAGCTGTGCTGAGTAACATCCATCGTTCACTCTGTCCACGCAGTGCCCATAGGGCAGAGTGGGGGACAGGGAGTGCTTGAGGGAGTGAAGCTTCCTCTGACCCCCACACCTTTGCATTCTTCCATGGCAGGGATTCCATGGAGAATCTTCAGAAGCTACTCCTCTGCCAGCACCAAGGAGAAGGCGAACAGAAATGGCACCTGTGAGAGGACAGAGCTGCTGGAAGGTGAGTGCTGGGAGAGCTGCAGTGAGCAGACAGCAGTCAGACCAGCCTGAGCTCTTGCTTTTTCCCTGGTAGTGACACTTCTGGGTTCCTGGGATACTGGGGTGGACCCCAGCTTGCAGGTAGATCTCAGAGAGACAATGGTTGGTATCTTTGTCTGGGAGTGGGGTTGGCTAAGGAAGGATGAAGTTCTTGTGTGCATCCTTTTTTCTGACCATGATTCTGATACTTCCAGAGTGAGGACAGGACAGAGCTTTCTGCTATGCCTTGTCTCCCATCACCTATCTGTTTCTCACTAGTGCTCAAAGCTCGAGCAAAGCAGCTTCAAGGCAGTAATGTCCCGGAGGTGACGGTCAACAAAGTGGAACTGGATGCACTGGACAATGACAAATACCAGGAGGCTGTGGAGCCTGGTCCCAAGGAGAGACAGCCCAGGGCACGGGGTGATGACCTGGCCCAGTCCAGCACCTGGGCCAAAAAGTTGCAGAAGGAGATGTACATCCAGCAGCTGAAGATGAAGCAGGAATTACCCAGTGCTGCCTCCCAGCTAGCTCTGGAGGGCCAGGCCAAGCTAGATGTCAAGGCAGAGACCAAAGCCAAAGCAAAACCCATGAAAAGCCCAAATATCCCAAAGATGAAAGCAGGCACTGCCTGGAACCAGAGTTCTGGCACCCCCCACGGCAAGCCCAGGGTGGTGGAAGCAAAGGAAGCAGCGGAGCTGAAGAGGCCTCAGAGGATGCCAAAGGAGAAGAGTAACCAGCAGGTCCTGCAGCAAACCATCCAGTGCAACCTGGAGTGCTTCCTGTTCCTGCAGCAGTCAGAGGAGGCTGAGCGGTACCTCCTGCTGTGCCAGAGCTCTCCAGTGAAGAGCAAGGTGCTGGACGTTGGTGCTTACAACATTGTGATGCGCAGCTGGGCCAGGAAGGTACTGAGCCGTGGGTGCACTGGGTGGGAGAGGGGCTGGCTCATGAGGAAGAGCCTCCAGCTGGTTTTACCTGTGGTTGTCACTTCAGCAAATGTTCAAGCAGTGCTTCTGGCAAGGGGGACTGAGCTAGCATGAGGCCACAGATCCGTGTGAGGTGGCTTTGAGAGGAAGAAAGGTGTGGGGAAAGGGTAGGGTAGACGTGACTAAATCTGAACAGGAGTAGAGGAGCGTGGAGCTGTGACTTTGGGGCCACTGGTGTCGCTGTCCACAGCCTCTTTCCCTTCTCACTTGCAGGGCAGCTTGAATCGCATCGACCGACTGTTTTCCATACTGGAGACCACCGGCCTCCAGCCCAACTTGGACTCCTATGCAGTGGTCCTGGAGTGCATGGGCCGGAACCAATCTCCTCCCAAAGCCATCTTGAGGTAACACCTGTCTTAGGTGCTGCTGAACCTTGGGGGCAGCAGCTCCACATCCTGTGCTTGGAGAACTGGGAGGAAGATGTAGTGGGTTGGGGTCAGGAAGAGCTGCCCTTTCTGCGTGCCCACCTAGATGCTCTGACCCACTTCTAATGGCCCGATTTCGGGGTGGGTGGAGCACCCTCTCTGCCACCCCCAGCTGCTGGGGAGTTTGAGATTGTACATGGGGAGGAGATGTGGAAGGACAGCAACACACACGGAGCTCTTTAGGGAAAAAAGGCCAACTTTATTGTACAGACAGCCTGTATTTAAAGTGTGTTACGTGCAGCCAGGACAGGACAGTACTTCATTGGACAATTGGGAAAAACATCCTTGGGACAGTACCTCAGGATGTATCCCACGGGAAAAACACCAGGTGTTAATTTTTATTATGAATTCCACTCTGTTTTTCACCATGTTATCACCCTGGGAGACTCCTCCCTAACTGAAGCTGCAGTCAGCTTGTCAGCCTGGGAATGGACCTGAGAGTCAGAAGAAATCCAGGCCTGAAAAGAATTTCCAAGCTGTAATTCCCTAGCTCTCTAAATGTGTGTGTCCACAGAAGGTGAGAATAGGCACTGTTCCCCGCAGAGCTGGGCTGGGAGAGGGCCCCTCCAGTCGGGGACTCCTTGGTTCTGCACCCATCCCAGGCATCTCTCTCCTTCTGGCCCCTCCATTGCTGCCTGGTGGGAATGGCTTGGCTCCTCTGTTTTTATGGCACTTGTGTGGAGCTTGCCCTTTTTGGCAGGCTCAGTCACATAGCTGCAGGGCTCTCCAGAGGAGCTTGGTCAAGAGATTCAGGTAGATTTCATGGAGCATAACAGACAGTTATGTTGTCAGTAAAAGTGTCAGTGCTAAAGTGGGTAGCTAAAAGAGCCCTGGAATATCCCACAGGCTGGGCCTAGGGGCAGTGCCTGGGGCTGGTGGCTCCTCTCCAGGGGATGGAGAAAGCTTTTGATGTGCTGAACCTCAGGGATGTATCACTGGCCTCTCTGTCCTTTGGCTGCTGACAAGTTCTAGATGCCTTCAGGGGAATGTCTTCAGTCAGCTGACTCTGAGGGGGCTGGCAGTGACTGCTGGACAGTGTGGGAGCTGTGTCAGTGCAGCACAGGCTGTGGGGCTGCCTCTGGGCAGCTCGGTCCCGCAGTGGCTGCAGCTCGGCCTCCCTGCCCAGGAAGCTCCACGGCGGTGCGGGCTGAGGGATGGACACCTGATCCCTGTAACCTGAGGAGGGTGACCTTGTGGGACGGGCGGTGCTGAGACAGCTCCTGCCCTGGCAGCTTCTGTACAACATGCTCAGGCCCTTGGGGAAGATCAAGCCTATCCTGTCTGCCCCTCCTCAGATACCTGCAGCAGCTGAGCAGCAATGGCTTCCATGTGGATGAGCTCTTTCAAAAGTGCCTGTTTGAGGAAGATGAGAAGGAGATGGTGCTGCGGGCCATCAGGACTGTCCAGCCCAACTACCAGCTACCTCCTCCACCTAGTCCCGAGATCAGCAAGTCTTCTCTGCTCCAGGACTTCTATTCCAGAGTAAGCCACAGTGCTCAGGGAGGTGTTGAAGCTGGCTAGGTGGTGTTCACAGGTGTTCTTAGGTACAGCCCAAGGGAGGGCTGAAAAGGAAGAACTTTTTAACCTAATCTCTGCTCGATAGTCCACAAAAATGATCAAATGAATGACATTACCAACATCCTTACAGGGGGACAGCAAAGCAGAGGGCTTGCAGGGGGCTGGAGATGGCTTCCATGCAGAGGAGGGGGTGGTTGGAACGCAGGAGCAGAGCAGCCTCTGGGGTTTGCCTGCCAGAGACCTCTGGACTCAGCCCAGCATTGTACCACCAGTTTCTTGCAGGGAAGCTGGGAGAATAGGCACAGCTTCTCTTTCTCTCACTTTTGCTTTTGGCACTGACTGCCTCTCTCCCATTGCAGGACACGATGGTGCCGTACCCCAAGCTGGATTTCTCCATGAAGGAGTTGCAGGAGCGCTTCCAGCAGCAGCTGGAAATGGAACTGAAGAGCACCATAACCATCGAGTCAGTGGAGGCAGCCAAGCCCCTGACCCCACAGGCTATCAAAGCGGTAAAGCTCAGGGGTCTGGGGGCAGCCTTCAGGGCCTGTGGGTGAGAGCTGAAGGTCCATGAGCTAAAGAGGAGGCAGCTCATGCTGACCAGCTCTCTTCCTTCCTTTTCTATGCAGCGTGAGCTGCTGGGCACCCTCCGCTCCCAGTGGCATGATGCCATCCTCCA